AGCTACGGGCCTGGTAGGCCTACAATTAAGCGGTAGACAATTTTAAAAGTAGGTCTACGAAATTTGAAATTGGTCTTTAAAAAACCTTTGCTAACCGTGACCATTTCCGTCATAGGTTCTGTCATAAGTTAAGACATTCCTAATTGATTTTGTTTTTCCTTTGAAAATGAAGTTAGCAACAGGGCGGGGTGAAGCAGTGATAGGCCCTGTATAGGCTATAGCACTGCATGGCTGGCAGACGATGCGTTAGATGGAACACCGTGTTCTCTATATTTACATAATTCAGAGCTATCGCACTTTTGACAGTGAGCCTTCTAGGAAATTATAAATTAGATCAATATGTACTACAGAAGAATAAAAACTATAGAAAACGTAGGCCTACTAATAAGATTAATCACAAGAGTGTCATTGGGCGGGGGTAAGGGGTGTGGGGCTACTGATCATGCATAGCGCACGGGAAATTTTAACTTAAAAGTCATCGATTTACAAATAAAATTAAATAAACTTCTTTTATATTTCACTGAAAATGCGCGTCAAAAATCATGAAAATGTCGGATTACTGTGTATATGATGTCTTAATTTCACGAAGGGCGGGAATAAAAAGCCGCAAGAACGAGTCACGAAAATGGGGCGCTTGACGTTTCACGTCCTTACAAACAAGAACAAGAAGCTTTCATTTCGCCGCGCTATCTTAAGCAAACCTTGATTTCGATTTTTCATTCACGTCACTCACATCTTTTATGAAGTAAATTAAATATAGACATCTTTTGTTCATGTTTGTTCTGGACATTATATCGTCTTACAGTAATGATACTTGTCGCTTAGCAACCACCAAGCACCTGTGGTAAGCTTTACCTCGTACCTCAAATATGGGTACTTCCGGTTAAAATAACGTGGTGCACAAGCCCAGTTGAAGGTACGAGGTAAATCCGCCATATTGCCAGTTTTAAAGGTTGACACTGTCAAAGGAAAAAAGTTGCCAAAAAATGACAAATCAGCGGCGTTGTCTTGATTGTTAATAACAAGGGGCATCATAGTGCATACATCTTGTTCAAAGGTTAGTGGTTACGGATATTTCTAAAAAAAGTAACTTTGTAAGCAGCAATTATAAATCCCTAGGTCGACTAGCAAGTGGGAAAAATTCTAGGATTTCTTGTTTCAGTTATCGGCCTTACTTGCTAGGTATTTACCGCAGGCTTAATTTGTAAGGTCGAAAACTGAGTCAATGGGATCTCTAGCTAAGTCACACTGTTATCTGAAGGTGGCATCATGTCTAGTTTCTCGCTGGAAGAGACGGTAGTAGTGGAGAATAAATGGAGGTGTCTTTCTGCATGGTGAATGGATGTCAGGTCAAAACTACCCCACACTGTATTAAAGTTGGGATTTTACCTTGTGTCTTTGTTAATTAAATTATTTGAATACATTACTGGACTCACATTTGTCTAGTGACAATGTTGTATCTCTCTCTCTCTCTCTCTCTCTCTCTTTGTGTGTAAGGGGGGAGGGGGAGGGATTAAAATATGCAGAGCTTAAGAGATTTATGAACAACTTCTGAACAACACGGTACAGCAAATATATGTCAATCTCTTTCAGTCCCTTTCAAGTATAACCACAGTTGATATTATGGCATAAAGCACCAGTGGAGTAGTAAACCGTGACCAGTATGAAGCGTAATGGTAAAGTATCCCCCATGGAGGAAGAGCTGGTACCAAATGACACGGTGGAGTTACAGCATGTGATCCAAGCTGAAAGTGTTCAGGAGACGGGAGCTGTACAAATGCCACCTTGTGAAACAGAAGAAGTAAATAGTTTTATATATTATTATTATAATTTTTTTTTTGCTGAAAAGTTCTGGATGAATTATTTACGTATTAAAATAATGCAAATATCTCAAAATTGATTTGGCTGTGACAATCATAGCATTTATAACTTTTTCCGTACATTTTAGGATTTAGAATTATCAGATTGGATCCCAAAACACATCAAACGGCGAGAATGTTGCAGTTTTATGGAGAAACCTTCAAAGAAAGGAGCCGATGAGTAGGGATTTGCTTGCTTTCCTGTCCTCACTGACTCACTCGTTTTTCTTCATTTACACTCACATGCATGCACACACATACACGTGCACTTATACTTGCAGTCACACTCTTACGTACATAAAGAACATGTATTCGTGTGCATATAAATGCTTTGTAACTTAAGCTTCTTATATAGTTTTTTTTTTTTTTTTGAAAATGATCACAATAACATTAAATTTTATTCTCCATTTGTATCATACCTGATGATAGTTTTAAATTCAAGATGGGTTGTTACGTATTAGTCTGTCAAATTTTCTCATTTTGTACATTTTTTTCAGTAAAGAATATGATAAATCCCTTAAAATGATTAACACATTAATAAAGTAGTAAGAACAGTATGCTTTTTATATTGTAAGAGATTTTGATAATAATGGTGGAAATATGACTTGTGTAGATAATATATTTGTATATATTGTATAAAAATGTAAAAACATTATGATGTATTTTTTTTAATTTTCTAGTGAAACTCCTGATGAAAAGAAGTAAGTTTTCCATTTTGCTATATGAATGCATATGGTTGTGGAATGGAGAATAATTATTGATATACATATTGAAGATTTATAACCAATTATTTTTAAAATATTTATGACAGAAAAATTTGCATGTACAGTAATAGTTGAGTAAAATAATATTTTCTAATTACATTTCAGAGTTAACTTTTCAAGCTGAAGTTTTTCATCTGTCGGTTGATCCTGCATATATTTCTATTTCATTTCCAGGGTGTGTTACTGCGGTCGTGAAAAACAGGCCCACACCCCAGAAGCACGGGAGTCCAGCATTCCAGACAAATGGACTGTTCACTCACACACCAAACACTTACCTACTAATGCCTTCGGTGAGGTGGAGTTTAAGATGTTCAATGACAGATCAGGGAAGGTGAGACTAGTCGGACACTTTTGGGGACTTACTACTAAAAAAAACTTCATCTTGAAAATTTGTCTAAAGTTTTAAAAAACTAAATTTTGAGTCATTATGCCCCCAGATAAATATGATGTTAGTTTGGGTCTCATATCATACAAAATGTCCCTTCAGGTATTTTCTGGCATTTTCATTCATATTCATTCAAATTGGTAATTAATTCATTATGTTAAATCAGAAAGTTACCAGCTCAGCAGTCATGCCACCTCAGTGACTGGAGGATAGTTGTGTGTACTGTGAATACAACACAATGTTGTGCAAAGTAGTACAATACAAGACAATGCAATGCACTACAATACAATACAATACAATACAATACAATACAATACAATACAATACAATACAATACAATACAATACAATACAATACAATGATACATTGTAAATTAAACATATAATCAATGATATAATGTATATGTATATCTATTGTAGTATGTGCGTGTGGCTGGAGACACCAACATGGAGATCATGACAGAGCTGTTGATGGACAAGTGGAACCTGGAGCTGCCAAACCTTCTCATCTCCGTCACAGGGGGCGCCAAAAACTTCACCATGAAGCCGAGACTGAAGGAGGTGTTTAGGAGGGGTCTTGTGAAGGCAGGACAGAGTACAGGTAACATATAGTGAGAGGTGTGGCTTTATTGCAGGTTGCCATGGAGACTCCCTGTTTCCTGGTTACCATTGTAAGGGTTTTGTAAGCTGCCTCTGGCCTTCAGCACAGGTGCATATGCACCATTACAGAAATAAGATTCCTTTTCCTTCTTTCTTACTTTCTTTCTTTTTCTTTCTTTCTTTCTTTCTTTCTTTCTTTCTTTCTTTCTTTCTTTCTTTCTCTTTGTCTTTCTTTCTTTATTCCTTTCTTTCTGAATGAATGAAAAGTGAATTGCCATCACCCCAGAAAGTGGCAGGGTATTTTGATCAGCAGTTCTCTCCTTACTGGTCAGCACTGCCTATAGCTAGTATACTGTTGCAACGGTTCACAACAAAGTCTACTTTTCTTTGTTCTTATTTATTCCATACCATTTTGCTGTAAATATACAAAGAGCGATGAGCAAAGAGGAATGTGCGATCATCATAATAATGTTATTAATAGCTATAATCTTAATATATGATAATTATAATAATAATAATGATAATATTCATAAAAGAATTAAACTATTGACCACGTACCTGTAAATATACAAAGAGCGATCAGCAAAGAGGAATGACAGAAAAAGGCGGTGAAGATATTTATAAGCGACGAAAGGCGGGAAAGATGACCAATGGGAATGAGAAAGTAAGATGACGCCCACGTGACAAAACAAAAGACAAACACCAGTGAAGAAAATACATTCATACGGCTACACTGTTCTACATAGTAACGTAACACAGATCTCCCTTCCTCACAGGTGCCTGGATTATTACTGGTGGTATGAACGCTGGGGTGATGAAGCACGTCGGAGAAGCGGTTCTAGACTATACGGTCGCAGCGGGGTCGCGGCAGAAACTTGTCACCATTGGCATCGCCACTTGGGGATGCGTTGCCAGCAAAGAGCAGCTGACAGACTTGGCGGCTGGAGACAAGAAATCAGAGGTAATGAGACATATTTCATTTTGTTTATTAGGCATTTATATCTATTCATATTTATTATGTACTCTAGTGAAGATGACTGTGTTTGCACTGACTTTGGCTAATTTATCTGTCTGACAGAAATAGTTTTAAGAATACAGAGCATATTCTGGTTTTGTTACAAGGCACACGTGTCCGCAGCCAGTAGTACTTATCTGTAGTCTCTATAATACAGGGTTTGTGGCCAGCCATGTACAAACCCCAGAAGAACAACAAGCGAGCTGCGTCTCTGGACCCCAACCACACCCACTTCATCCTGGTGGATCAGGGGACAGAGCTGATCTTTGGAGAAGAGATTGACTTCAGGGCGGCACTAGAGAACGAGATTGCCAAGCAGAAGAATGCTGTGGACACAAGTAAGTAGAGAGGGTTTTAAAATGGTGATTTGGGGGGTGGTGGAGGGTAATGGGAAGGAATAAGTAATTACATGATGCCAGTTACAAATGTTTAATGAAATATGATGTTATTTATAAATTTGAGTTTTCTGAAACTTTTATAATGCAGTCTCCCAGATGATATGATTACAACTTCAAACATTTTTGGTTTAGAAGTTTTCTAGAGGAACTACCAGTGCAATTTGTACAACTTCCTTTAGCTATGGGAAAGACTTACAAACTGATATCTAATTTTTTCTTAGAAAATGAATTTGAACTAAGGCGTATGAACTTTTTAAAACTGATATGTCATATTTGTTTAAGAAAATAGCTTTCAAATTTCATCCATAGATAAGTGAATTAAGACTGATATACCTTATAAACTGGTATCTCATTTTTATTTTAAAAAAAAAGCATTCAGATATCATCTAAAATATTTAAATTTAGCCTTACATATTTTCCCTCTGATATCCCCCCAGCTATTCCTATAGTCCTGGTGGTGGTGGAAGGAGGTCCAGGCACCATCCACACTGTTCACAGCGCCATCATGAATGGGACACCTGCAGTCATTGTGGACGTAAGGAACAGTTAATGATTTTAGATTTTTAGCAAGCAACTTTGGTCCATTTGTTAATAATTTGGTAAAAACGTTCATTCATCTAAAACAAAATTTGTTTTGGTTTGACCTTGGGGTTTTACCAAGTTGAATATGGTTATATCAAATAGTACATAAAATTATTATTATTATTATTATTATTATTATTATTATTATTATTTGTTGCTTCTAGGGCTCTGGCAGAGCAGCAGACATCTTTGCTTTTGCTTACAAGTTTTCTCGAGAAGTTGTCATCCCTGTTGTTGATCAGACTGGGGCTAAGAAATCTAAGTGAGTATTTTTTTCTCAAGTTTTAAATTAAAAATTTTAAAGGTAAGAAGAGGCAAATTCTGTTTGTTTACATTAAATTAGGCAATACTGTTTGGGAGAAGGGAACTTTGTGCCTTTGCCATTTCCTGGAGTGATATTAAGACACTCAGTTGTAATTAGATAAAATTAAACAGAATAAGATTAAGTTATGTAATGAATTTAGTGAACTGGATTAAACAAACTGAAATTAACCAAGCTAAGCTTTAGCTAAACTCAGCAAGATGAAATTTAATGTCTAAGAAATATTTAATTTTTTATATTATTATAAAACTATCAAATGTACAAGAAGGTATTTTTTCTCATTTCAGGACTATCACAGTGATAGACGAGTTCACTGACAAGAAAATCACTGAGATGGTGAAAGAGGAATTTGGAGAAACGAATCTGATTCAGAATGTGACGTATATTAAAGAGTCCCTGATCCATCGTGACTTGGTGACAGTGTTCACTATAGACCAGAGGGAAACGGCCAAAGACATTGATGTGGCCATTCTGCATGCTTTACTGAAAGGTTTGTCTGTCCCTCTAATGATTATTTGCATTAAGTATTTAGGTTGTCATAATATATATGGCCCCATTCAGAATAGGGTCCAATGGTCAAATTTGGCAACCCACTACAAAGCTTGTCGTCTAATTGGCTAATAGACACTGAATAAATATCCCATGGGGAAGTATTCAAGTGGGTCAGCCATATTTGGCCCTTGGACTACATGTAGTTAGTCCCCTATTCTGAATGGGGCCATTGCCACCTGGGGCTGCATTCCCAGATGAAGGTGGTTTGGTAGTCACTGAAATATTGGAGTGCTGATAACTTGAAGTTGAAAATGTTATTGTAACTTTCAGTACATAACACAGCAGATGAAATTTAGCAGTGTTTCAAGAAAATTTATCGCTATTACATTTAATTTTAATTCAGCCAATCGCAATGAGACATTGACACAACTGCGTCTGGCCTTAGCTTGGAACAGAATAGACGTGGCTGAGTCAGAAATCTTCACAGACGACTACAAATTGGACGTAAGTACTTTTATTTCTATTTTACAATATGCATTTTTGTTCAGTTTTTGGAGATCATGTTTTACCTAGTTATCAGATTATAAACTTTAAAATTTGGTTACCCTTGATTTCTTTAAACACAGTCAAGTTTTTTTCTACAGAAACATTGCTCCATCAGCATGTGCATTTCAGCCCAGGTATTCCACAATAAAAGAAGAGGCAGATTTAAGAGGACAAAATCCTGTTTATGAATCTTACAATGCACTGTTCCTGGGGTGTGCTTTTATCTTTTAATTGGTGAGGCGATTACGTCTAATAAATCGTAATATTCTAATATTTGTGTCTCATTTCAGCAAGGTGGCTTCAATCAAGTCATGCAAACTGCTGTACTGGCTGGAAAGGTGCAGTTCATCAGCCTCTTTTTAGATAACGGTATTAACCTCCATGACTTCTTGACAATGGAGCGACTAGAAGATCTATATGACAGTGTAAGTATAAAGGCAGTTCATGTTACATAATGCCTTGTATGATTATTGGTGCTCCTTAGCTTCAGGCACAACATATAATTCTTTTTTCATTTTTTTTAAAAATTTTTGTTTGTTTTTTAAGGACCCTTGGCATATGTTGAGAATGCATTTTTGGGAGTTGTTTTGCTTTATAAAAGTAGAAATTTAAGAGAAAAATAAAAATAAGATAAAAATATGTTTTTTGGTGATTAAAATACAGTGCTAATATTCCAGTAACTTCTGATCATTAATTTGCAGATTCCAGAAAATAGCTACTTGAACACCTTGATTGATTTATTCAGGGATCCTAAAAGAAAGGTAAGTATCACCACTAATATACAGAAATATTGGGTGATTTGGTAAAGAATTGTGCAGTAAATAAAGTGCAAAGCTTTCATTTAACACCAGTTATTGTTTAAAGTGTGTGTTCTTTGATGTAAAGCATACTGATGTCTCACAGGCAAGACGTAGTATAACATGTATAAAATTATTTCCCACATATATTGAAGTTTTTGTAAGGGACTTATTTTAGAATGTAATCATTGTTATAATGATAAGTAAGGCCATTTTCTTAGATATCAAGAACTTTATTTATAAAAAGAAATTTGATTTTTCATTAGGGTATGTGTGTCAATCTTTATGACATCGCCATGGTGATCCAGGAACTGATGGGGGACTCCTACTCTCCTCTTTACACCAGAGATCCCAGGTGAGGGTGGAGTCTGAGACGTGGGCGGAGTCTGAGACGTGGGCGGGGTCTGAGAGATGAGGGTGGAGTCTGAGAGATGAGGGCGGAGTCTGAGAGATGAACTGTGCTAGTTGAAAGTAGTGTGTTAGTTGAGACATGAAGTGTGTTAGTTGAGACATGAAGTGTGTTAGTGGAGACATGTAGTGTGTTAGTGGAGACAAGATGTTCTAGTTGAAACAGTGTGTTTGTGAAGGTGGACATTGTGTTGGTAAATAACTTGAAAAAGTAAAGTGGCATGCTGTCATGTTTTCATAAAAAGTTCATTGAAAACACTGCAATGACACTTAAATGGCAAGACCAGAAGGTATGACTGATTACCATTCATACTGTATAAATTATAAATGATAATCATTGTGGTATTTGGTCTTCTTTCTGTTGTGGTGCATAGTACGATATGTTAAAACTATTTATTCCTCAGATATTATGGTGAAGATGATGAGGAATCACAGCTGCCAATGAGGAGACACTCCATGACTGAAGGACACATGTGTACGTGATATATCTCTGATATTTTAAGATATAAGGTCAGCTTTGTAAGGCTAAGGAGATAATAGATTTTCATGTGCTCTACCTTGATAAAATGGAATTATTCTTTACTTAAAGACTAATTAACATCTGTCAAACATCATAACGTTTACGATATCCAAGCCAGAGAATTGTTCATGTTAACTTTATCATGTTTTAGCTACAGCAGCATCCAGCAGTGATTTAGATCAAAACCATGAGTATTTTGATGTCCCTGCTCGAGAGCTGTTTGTGTTTGCAGTGCTCATGAACAGAATGGAAATGTCGAAACTGTTCTGGGAGAGACTGGAGGTAAGGAGTCGTTGAGAATGAGTAAGTGTGCACTAGCTGAATGGACTCTTGCTGAATGCAATCAGATTATATTAAATGGACTAACTCGCCTTCTCCTGGCATTGAGTAGAATACAGAGCAGATGGTGATTTTACCAATTTGTTGAGTCTGAGGCTATGTGTAGTTGGTCTGTTACCTATAGATGCTCAGTGTTATTCTTGTGTGAACAGACACTTATATTGCTGGTATGTTGCCCAGTAGTTATAGTCTTAGTTAGAACTGATGTCAGCAGGACCAAAGTTCTTGTCTGAACACACATCTTGTTAATTGTTACTGCACTCCCCTTTCTAGTCCAAATAAGACTTGACATGAACAGGATAAGGAACTCTATGTTTACACCTTGTCTTATTGTATACCTGATTGGCTGGTTAATTGCAATCAACTGCTGTATTCCAGGAACCAATAGGAGCTGCACTGACTGCCGCCCAGATGTTACAGACCATGCAGAAACACACGGAGGACACAGAACTCCAGTCTAAACTAAGGAAACATGGACAGTATGTTGATATAGCCCAGTTCTTTAGCTTTACTTTACATTTATATTTCACATGTCAACTCCAAGTGAAAATATAGCCTCATGGATAATAGCCAGAACTTCAGTTCAAACTCATATGGATATATGGACAGTGTGTTTCTATATGCAGGCAAACATAAGTATTGGTCAGGGATGTTTGTTTGGTGCCTAGAACTGGCACAACATTTTATTGAATGTTTTTTTAAAATGATATCAGGCTTTCTAAACACAAATTTGATTTTTATGTATGTATATATGATTTAGCTCTAAACAAAAAATACAACCCCATATAATACAGCATCATAGACCAATTCTGTTAAAATGACATATTCAATCTCCCTTTAGATACTACGAGGAAATTGCTTGTGGCGTCCTCAACGAGTGCCATTTATCTGACGAGGCTCGTGCCTCGCAGGAACTCTTGATTCGAGAACTGCCAAACTACGGGAACTCTACATGTCTCCAGCTCGCTGTGGAGGGGGACAACAAGACATTCATCTCTCATGCCTGCTGCCAGTCACTGCTGAACCAGATCTGGATGGGGAAGATGTCTCACAAGAATAAGTTGTGGAGGGTGAGGAGTTTATCACAAGTTGTGGAGGGGGGGGCGGGGGGGGGGGGTATCTGTTTAATTAGCTGTAATACCTTAGATATGAAATTTGTATAATTTTTTCTTCATGTAATTGCTATATATTGTCTCATTTAAAAAGAGTTCATAATAAATAAAGTTGTAAATACTTTAAGCTTATGAAGAAATGAGAGAGAAATATGTATATAAATAAGTAAGTACATGATCAGTTTTAACTGATTAAAATAATAATAATAATGATAGCAATAGTTATAGTAAATAAATAGATAGAAATAGTAATATATGGATTTAAGATTTAATCTGTAACTAAGGTTGCTTTGTCTGTAAGTAGTAGTAATTATTACATTTAATTTATTTCCTCTGAATTTTTGATCTTTATTTTAGATCTGGCTCTCTATTCTGTTTCCTCCATTGCTGCTGGGGTTGATCTACTTCAGGGAAGATGAGCAAAGTAGGTTTGCCAACAAGAACAAGGGCAAGCAGGACAACCCAAGAGGGTAATTATGGATGACACTTTTTATTTGTTTTTGTTGTTCAATGCATAGGGGGCAAATTGTTGGCAAATAATAAAACTAAAAGATGAAATACTTCCAGATTTATTCAGAAATGTGGATATTTTGTTTTTTTTTTTTTATTTATGCCTTAGACTCCCATATAGAACTGAACACCTTTGGTGCTTGAAATTTTAGATATTTTCAAAAGGACCACTTCGATATCTGAAAAATGCTTGATCATGTTTTCATTATATTTCTGGTCAAATTTTCTATTTTATCGTTTCAACAGTGAATTTTGTTAACACTCATGTGCAAATGTTCAGAAGAGTTGCTTTATAAAACTGTCTGATGAGAAAATAGGAAACGCCTAATTTCACAAAATCTTTTCAGCCTGAAGCGTCAACGATCTGCTTATCCAATCAAAAAGAAGGCGAGTGACGCAGGTCCTGGAGCAAAGAATCTCGGAGATGAAGGCTTAGACATCCGAAATACTGGGCGTAAACTGACCTGGTACGACAGGATTAGGTTCTTCTACAACGCCCCCCTCACAACTTTTCTGCACAACTGTGTAAGTACACACCCCTGGGGATTTAGTTATTTATTTATTTGTTTGTTTGCTTGCTTGATTGTTTGTTTATTTATTTATTTATTTATTTATTTATTTATTTAATTAATTCGTAATGGCTATGAATCACTCTGAGGTTCAGTTGCAAACTCGCTTAAATCAACATTTGTATCATCAAAGCTGAGTTATTAGAAGTAAGTCAGTTCCAGAACTCTGAAACACAGGGTGATTGAACACTTGAATAAAAAAATGGGTGATACAGAATTTTTTAGTCAATTAGAGGCAATTTTTCATAATAAAAATGTCTACCTGTTGATTAATTTAATAAAATATACAACTATTTGCAAAATAATCACATATCATCAAACTACATTTTCTTTCAATCAATTTTATACTATTTAATGTATCTAAACTCAGTGCCTGGCACAACAGATATGATAGTTAATTTTCATAATTCTATTAAACATATATGTATAGCTTTTAATTCAAAGTTAATGGACAATGTGGTTTCGTCCACCCAATTATGATTTATTTATTTTCTCACTTCCAGATTTCATATCTCTGTTTCCTGATGCTGTTCAGTTACATTCTCCTCACCAACTTCTATCCCACTGTCTCCACGGCCGAGTACATTCTCATGGTGTGGGTTTTCACTCTCCTCGTTGAAGAGGTGCGCCAACTGCTCGCAGACGATGCCTCGGTGTTCCGCCTGAAGTTAATGAGCTACATTTATGATGCCTGGAATGTCGTGGATGTCGTGACGCTGTTGTTCTTTCTCACGGGTACTGTGCTGAGGTTGATTCCTGGGTGCGAGGGCTGCTTCGAGGCGGCAAGGATTGTGCTGGCTCTGAATCTGATGACGTTCTGGTTCAGAATTCTCCACATATTTTCAGTGCAGAAGACCCTGGGGCCAATGCTTGTTATGATTGGAAGAATGGTAATTGTCTATATCTTTGTAGCTTCATTTTTAAAGCAATGATTAGAAATCAAATCTGGGATTGTCCTCTTTTTGTCATATTGTTGTGTAAAATATTCCATTTATCTTTATAGGTGATAGATCTGCTTGGTTTCTTTGTAATCCTGATGGTATTTGTGCTGGCGTATGGCCTGGCGTCGCAGGCTATTCTGTATCCTAACGTGGACCTTACACCAGTGATTATTGTGGACGTGCTGAGGAAAGCATACTGGCAGATGTATGGAGAGCTCTTCTTAGAGGATATTGAAGGTAGATTTATATTGTGATTTTTTTGATATCGTAAAGTATGGTGATGGTGGTGTTTCTCTTACCTCTACAGTTTCTTGGTATGCGCACGTGCACGCTTGTATGCACACACTTACACACAAACACACACACATACACACACCTGTTAATAATATATTCACATTGTGTTGTAGGTATCACTGACTGTACGACAGACCTGGCTGGTAACAGTACGTTGCCGCGCTGTCCATCAGAGGCAGGGACCTGGGTGACCCCCATACTGCTAGGCCTGTACATCTTGTTCACCAATATCCTCATGTTTAACCTCCTTATTGCCATGTTTAGGTAAGTCCTGGGTTTGGATAGGGTAGTGTGTGTGTGTGTGTGTTCGGAAAGAGAGAGAGAGAGAGAGAGAGAGAGAGTGTGTGTGTGTGTGTATGCGCGTGCGTGCATGCCAAGAGAGAGAGAGAGAGGTGGGTTAATTATATGTAAGATTATAATGTATCTTTCTGTTCATGGTCACACTTTATTTGAAGTATATATGGGAAATTTTATATTTTCACATTTATTTGGTGGTGTTTTAGTTTTACCAATGAAAATATTGACCAAAGGAGATATTTTACATTAAGGAAATGTTTTCCTATTTAACTTGTAATAGGATTAAACAAGGATATGGAAATTGGCTAAAAAGTTACAGTTAATGGGTTATAAAATCTTTATGAATGTTCTGTTAATAAAAGAAGTTTTTATTGTTTTGACTTCAGGAACAACTCTGTTTTCACTGATGTTGAAAACAACTTATACTGTTCTTTATTTCATGACATTGAGGGGGAATTATTATTAGCAAGCAAGTCATTATTTTAGAACTTATAATTTCAGGGTACTTATTTATTTTTGTATTTGCAGTTGATGATTTACTTTGTTTCAATTAGTTACTAAAATACATGTAGCAGAAAAAGGAAAAGATTTAAAAGTGTCCAATTTTCAATTTTTGAAATGCTGAGCACTACAAACTTTTCAAAAGTTGTGCTACATTTTAAATAAAATTCATCTCATTTTCTCCAGCAGCTGCAATTTTCCAGTTTGTTCTCACATTAGCTAACATGATGTTGAGATTTTACATTGTGCTGTGTCTTTTCCATGTCGCACCTAACACAATAATAAAAAAATCACATTTCTCCAGCTTCACATTCTACATTGTGCTGACACAGACTGAAGTGGTGTGATAATGCATTCCAGAGGCCATCAATTGTGTTTTGTCTTCTCCAAGTCACAACTAACACACTATTTTTCTCCAGCTACACATTCCAGCGGGTGCAGGCCCAGGCTGACGTGGTGTGGAAATTTCAGCGTTACACTCTGGCGTATGAGTATTTTCGTCGTCCTCCACTGGCGCCCCCTTTTATAATTATCTCTCACATCAAGATGGGTATAGAATGGCTGCTGGGGCAGTGCGGGTGTAGAAGGAAAGACGATCATCAGAATCTGTTCAGTAAGTCGTGCATGCGGGGTAGATCACACATGCACATGTATGGGGAACACAGTAGAATATGGCCTACATAAAGGTGTCATATGGTTATCATTGTAGTTCAAAAATTCCTCAACCCCACTTTGAACTGGAACAGAAACATCCAAACAGATGCCACCAGGGGGACATATGCCATGAAGGCCCTTCTCCCCCCCCCTCCCCCNCCCCCCCCCCGGTCCCCCTGTGGCCTCCAGTTCATAAAGATCCCAATGTGGAACCCCCCAGGGACCTAAAATAGCACAACTTTGAGAGATCTGCAATGTTGTGCCGCATTTAGACTATCTCAGGCCTAAGTCTGTACGTTGAAATGGAAACACACCCCAGTAATCCCAGTCCCCCCCCCCCAGTGTTCGACAGTAGATACTAAATGCATGCCATGCACGTGTTTAACTGACTCACCGCTGCATGAAACACTAGGATTCGTGTATCCTGCTACTAACAGTGCTTTCTCTTGTGTTTAAGTTCGGTTGTTTTGTGTTATTTGCATGTATGTGAAATTTGTGGCTTAGATGGTCAAGCATAATAATTATCAAGCAGCGCAATTGCATTGTGATTTGCAGCAAAGTTTTGATTTCGTTGATTTCAAGAATCCACCTGGGGGTTTCAGAGTTTGTTTTCTGTAATTGCTATTTAAATTCCTGTGACATGAATCAGAAATTTTTCTCCAAGAAATGCTTTATCAGTAATACACATGTAAAATGTTGATTCCAAATTATTGAAAAATAAGTTGGATTTGAGAGAAAAAATTCCTTATTGGAAGTGTCAGAAAAAGATGAAACTTGAAAAAAGTTTGAATATTTTTAAATATTCAAATATTTGAAAAAGTGTAGTTTTGAGAATTTAAAAAATTGTTATTGTAAACAGTTTATGGATACAGATAGCATATCCCAGATAGCGGCATGTCATTGTCTGTACTGTGGTGCTCAGAATAATGGCTTTGTAATATATTATATTCACGTTGCAATTTAACCGTCAATATTTCAGGGAGCCTCATACCAGCTATCTTCAAGGCTACGGTCATTGTTGCATTTATGGTTATTGTACTCCCTGAGTCTCAGATAACTGATGACTGATAACAGGACACCTTTCCATGTGACTTATGGTTCCTGTCACTCTTTCAGCTCTCTGAAACTCAGGGTAATGCTAGAGCTTGCAAGCATGATTTTGCTTTGGCATGTAAGGTGTTGTTCTCAACCAAATTAAACAAATTACTTAAACTATTTGGTGACCAAAGGCAAAAAAATGAAAGATTGTCATTTATTGCTTTTTCACGAAGAGAAAATATTTTTGCAGGTAAAAATATTTTTGAAGGTAACAAAATATATCATGCTTGCTTGAGCCATTATACATTTTGCATGCTTGTTATTTATTTATGTAATTTTTGGGTCATTCCCTAAAAATGACTCTGTCAGAGTCACACCAGTGATGTACACATTTTGTGTAGTATTTTTATAATTCTGATTTGTTCAGTTCATATTTTGCTGTATTATACTATAACACCAGCTGTTGAAAAAAAAAAAAAAACAGACTGCAGTGATAAAAAAACATTTATGCAAATACATCACAAAATTTGTGCATCAGTGACATGAACCAGAGAGTCAATTTTTGTAGAATGACTGGTAGGTACGATTCTCTGCTAAATGTTGGCAATTGCAGATCCTGGCGCATGTCATAGTCCTAGTTGTTGCTATTGTTGTTTACCATCACTGTTGTCTCTCTCTCTGCAGCTACACATTTGATAAGGTGAAGGAAAACACAGACCATTACTGGCACTACCAGCGCTACTTCCTCATTTACGAGTACCACACGCGTCCCCCTCTGGCCCCGCCCCTCATTATCTTATCCCATATTTACCTCTCCATCCGTACCGTACTGAGAATTTGCTGTAAGAAAGCCCATAATGCTGGGAAACGCAATGTGTTCAGTAAGTTGTGTGGATGGCAAACCGATATCAAATACAACCCATGCCTGTTAATGTTTTTATTGATTAAAGGAGTTTTTGTTAGGAGATTTGTTTAGAGTTTTCAAAGGCTGATTTGAACTATTTGTTGGTATTGTTAGTTGTGTGTAGAATATGCAAGCATTACTTTTTATTAAAGAATTGAGAAGAATTACTGTTTTATCATAATTTTAGTGAAGTTTGTAATCAAAGTAACAAGAAACCTACAAGGGAGAGTAACTAAACTGTAATATGACTGTCAGGTACGGCTTATTTTTAGCTGTAAATTGGCCAATTTGAATCAAACTCTGTACACACTTTCACGTTAATCTTCCTCTCCCCTGCAGAATGGAGAATTAAGGACGAAGGTGTGTCTAAACGGCTCAATAAATGGGAGTTTATGAACGGAGAAGAGTTTATACGAAGGCGTGCCCATCTGCACAAGGCAACGATGGAAATGCAGGTCATGGACAGTAAGAATATGTGAGTATGACTAGATTTTAAAATGATAAGAATGGTGAATAGTCCATTTTGTAAATTTTATACATAACTGTTTGAACCTGACTTATGCTAAAAAAAAAAGGGCTAATGGAAAGGTAATTTTCTACCTTAAGACTTATTCCTTTATTTCAAATGGATTATTTTTAATATTTTATATGTTATATATCCTCCAGGCTGGAGACTGCCTCTGTGAATGTGGAGGCATTAAAGGATGCGATGTTAGGGATGAGGTCCAAGCAGCAAGCCCTGGCAAACAAAGAGCCATCTTACCTGGAAGAAAGGTTCAACTCCATTGAAGAACAGGTACTCCTCTTTCTTAAGCCCCCTTAAGACTGGACGGCGCCCTTTCTGCATCCCGTAGTATGGTTCCGTATGAGAGAAAAACCTCCTTTTTATGACCACAGTGAGGCCAGTTGCATGGTCGCACAAAGGACGCAGACAGGACGCCGTCCAGTGTAAAGGGGGTTGCAGTTACCCCAATTAGATATAATCTGAAATGATGGTTGTCAGTGAACTGGTAGGATGATTTTGCATGAGTTCATGTTTAGTGAAGTGACAGTTTAATCGGTCTGAGATTGACATATGTCCTTTGTCCTTTTAGATTTATAAAGCAATAAAAAATGACATTTTTAGAGCTCGTAGATTAAAAAACTATCCAATGGTATGCATAATTTACCATTTGAAGCCTTGTATCCAAGACTATTTCAACCTCATTAATTTTCAATTTAGTAGTCCTAGTACTTGTAGTTATTTTTTTATGAAATGCTGTTATTCTGACAATATGTAGCTAATAGTATTTGATTTCTATTAATATTATCTTTTCTCCCCCCCATCGCCAGCTGGAAACCACATTCCAAGCTCTCCACTGGATTGTCCAGAACATGAGTGGACAAGCCAAGGGCAACCCTCCAAAACTGCAGGACCCCAAGCAGAGGAAAATAGAAGGTAAATAGGCATCATATGAGGATCATTGTCATTAACATCACCCTCATTCTGCTTTGGAAATTTTTTTTTCACATAATACTTTGTAGAATGCAATTGACATTTGGAACAGACCTGATCTCACACTGACACATTTATGTTGAGTTTCCTACCACATTCCTGTTAAAACAAACTTCACTCTCTCTATTTTTTCACAGAGTATTAAAAAACATTTTATTTAGCTATTCACCACCTTTAAATGTTGAAAAAAGTGACAAAATTGAATGTTGTTTTGTGATATTCTTATTATTGTGGTATATAATCCACTGGTTTTATTGGATATTTCAGAGGAAGAAAAGAAGAATGATCTGGCCAAGCAAGAGAAGGAACGTTACATGATGATGTTATCGGAACAAGTGCGTCTTCACGTGAAGAGTCGCACATCTCCATATCCAGAGGCAGGGCCCGATGTGAAAAGATTTCAAGTACCAGATGCCAATGTCCCCTGGACAGTGAGTTTTTTTTTTTTTTTTTTTTTTTTTTTTTTTTTTTTTTTTTTTGTGTGTGTGTCTGTGTGTGTGTGTGTGTGTGGTACAGAAATAACAGTCAATGCTTTCTACATATCTGAAAGAAATATTTATAACAAAATGATTTTTGAAAACACTTTATTTATATTATAATGTATAATATAGTACTTTCCATCTTTCCATCTTCTTTTCAACAAACATTTATTTTAAGTGTATTTCACATTATTTCAGGTCCCATTCCCTGAGTACAGTCCAACAGAATACACCAGTCCAGTAGTGTTGGAGGGTCCTGATTGGGCAGACCCTGATATTCTCAACAGGTGAGATTGCACTGTCTGTCTCACCCAACACACTGTCACACCTAACACATCTAACACACTTTCACACCTAACACACTGTCACACCTAACATACTGTCATACCTAACACACTGTCACACCCAACACACTGTCACACCTAACACACTATCATACCTAACACACTGTCATACCTAACACACTGTCATACCTAACATACTGTCATACCTAACACACTATCATACCTAACATACTGTCACATCTAACACACTATCATACCTAACACACTGTCACACCTAACACACTATCATACCTAACACACTGTCATACCTAACACACTGTCATACCTNTACAAATTGTTATCGTAAACAGTTTATGGATACAGATAGCATATCCCAGATAATGGCATGTCATTGTCTGTACTGTGGTGCTCAGAATAATGGCTTTGTAATATATTATATTCACGTTGCAATTTAACCGTCAATATTTCAGGGAGCCTCATACCAGCTATCTTCAAGGCTACGGTCATTGTTGCATTTATGGTTATTGTACTCCCTGAGTCTCAGATAACTGATGACTGATAACAGGACACCTTTCCATGTGACTTATGGTTCCTGTCACTCTTTCAGCTCTCTGAAACTCAGGGTAATGCTAGAGCTTGCAAGCATGATTTTGCTTTGGCATGTAAGGTGTTGTTCTCAACCAAATTAAACAAATTACTTAAACTATTTGGTGACCAAAGGCAAAAAAATGAAAGATTGACATTTATTGCTTTTTCACGAAGAGAAAATATTTTTGCAGGTAAAAATATTTTTGAAGGTAACAAAATATATCATGCTTGCTTGAGCCATTATACATTTTGCATGCTTGTTATTTATTTATGTAATTTTAGGGTCATTCCCTAAAAATGACTCTGTCAGAGTCACACCAGTGATGTACACATTTTGTGTAGTATTTTTATAATTCTGATTTGTTCAGTTCATATTTTGCTGTATTATACTATAACACCAGTGGTTGAAAAAAAAAAAAAAAACAGACTACAGTGATAAAAAACATTTATGCAAATACATCACAAAATTTGTGCATCAGTGACATGAACCAGAGAGTCAATTTTTGTAGAATAACCCGTAGGTACGATTCTCTGCTAAATGTTGGCAATTGCAGATCCTGGCGCATGTCATAGTCCTAGTTGTTGCTATTGTTGTTTACCATCACTGTTGTCTCTCTCTCTCTGCAGCTACACATTTGATAAGGTGAAGGAAAACACAGACCATTACTGGCACTACCAACGCTACTTCCTCATTTACGAGTACCACACGCGTCCCCCTCTGGCCCCGCCCCTCATTATCTTATCCCATATTTACCTCTCCATTCGTACCGTACTGAGAATTTGCTGTAAGAAAGCCCATAATGCTGGGAAACGCAATGTATTCAGTAAGTTGTGTGGATGGCAAATTTTCATCAAATACAACCCTTGCCTATTAATTTTTATATTGATTAAAGGAGTTTTTGGTATGATATTTGTTTAGAGTTGTCAAAGACTAATTTCAACTATATGTTGATATTTTTTAATTCTGTATAAAAACCTGTAAGCATGCCTTTTATTTTAGACTTAAGAAGCATTACTTTTTAAGCAAGATTTGTTAAGTATTAAATAAGACATTTTGTAAAGTTTGTAATCAAAGTTACAAGAAACCTACAAGTGAGAGTAATTTAACTGTAATATTAGTGTCAAGTTCAGCTTATTTTGAGCACTAATACCCTTATTTCACCTGCAGAATGGAGAATTAAGGATGAAGGTGTGTCTAAACGGCTCAATAAATGGGAGTTTATGAACGGAGAAGAGTTTATACGAAGGCGTGCCCATCTGCACAAGGCAACGATGGAAATGCAGGTCATGGACAGTAAGAATATGTGAGTATGACTAGATTTTAAAATGATAAGAATGGTGAACAGTTGATTTTGTAAATTTTATACATAACTGTTTGAACCTGACTTATGCTAAAAAAAAAAAAAAGGGCCAATGGAAAGGTAATTTTCTACCTTAAGACTATTTCAAAGGGATTATTTTAAATATTTTATATATTATATATCCTCCAGGCTGGAGACTGCCTCTGTGAATGTGGAGGCGTTAAAGGATGCGATGTTAGGGATGAGGTCCAAGCAGCAAGCCCTGGCAAACAAAGAGCCATCTTACCTGGAAGAAAGGTTCAACTCCATTGAAGAACAGGTACTCCTCTTTCTTAAGCCCCCTTAAGACTGGACGGCGCCTTTTCTGCAGCCCGTAGTATGGCTCCGTATGAGAGAAAAACCTCCTTTTTATGACCACAGTGAGGCCAGTTGCATGGTCGCACAAAGGACGCAGACAGGACGCCGTCCAGTGTAAAGGGGGTTGTAGTTACCCCAATTAGATATAATCTGAAATGATGGTTGTCAGTAAACTGGTAGGATGGTTTTGCACGAGTTCATGTTTAGTGAAGTGACAGTTTAACTGGTCTGAGATTGACATATGTCCTTTGTCCTTTTAGATTTATAAAGCAATAAAAAATGACATATTTTAGAGCTCGTAGATTAAAAAACTATCCAATAGTATGCATAATTTACCATTTGAAGCCTTGTATCCAAGACTATTTCAACCTCATTAATTTTCAATTTAGTAGTCTTAGTACTCGTAGTGATTTTTTAATGAAATGCTGTTATTCTGACAATATGTAGCTATTTGATTTCTATTAATATTATCTTTTCTCCCCCCATCGCCAGCTGGAAACCACATTCCAAGCTCTCCACTGGATTGTCCAGAACATGAGTGGACAAGCCAAGGGCAACCCTCCAAAACTGCAGGACCCCAAGCAGAGGAAAATAGAAGGTAAATAGGTGTCATATGAGGATCATTGTCATTAACATCACCCTCATTCTGATTTGGAAATTTTTTTTTCACATAATACTTTTGTAGAATGCAATTGACATTTGGAACAGACCATATCTCACACTGACACATTTATGTTGAGTTTCCTACCACATTCCTGTTAAAACAAACTTCATTCTCTCTATTTTTTCACAGAGTATTAAAAAACATTTTATTTAGCTATTCATCACCTTTCAATGTTGAAAAAAAGGACAAAATATAATGTTGTTTTGTGACATTTTATATTACTGTGGTATATAATTCTCTGGTTTTATTGGATATTTCAGAGGAAGAAAAGAAGAATGATCTGGCCAAGCAGGAAAAGGAACGTTACATTATGATGTTATCAGAACAAGTGCGTCTTCATGTGAAGAGTCGCACATCTCCGTATCCAGAGGCAGGGCCCGACGTGAAAAGATTTCAAGTACCGAATGCCAATGTTCCATGGACGGTGAGTTTTTCAATTTTTTTTTTTACTGGTACAGAAATTACAGTCAATGCTTTATGTATACCTGAAAGAAAGATTTATAACAATATGATTTTGGAAAACACTTTTTGTATATTATAATGTATAATATGGACCTTTACACCTAAAACTTTTCAGCATAATATCTTAAAAGTGTATTTTAATTTATTTTAGGCCCCTTTTATAAAAAAGTATCATTTTCTTTTCAAGAAACATTTTTCAAAGTGTATTTTCAAGATTTTAGGCTCCGTTTATAAAAAGTTTCATCTTTCCATCTTCTTTTCAACAAACATTTATTTTAAGTGTATTTCACATTATTTCAGGTCCCATTCCCTGAGTACAGTCCAACAGTATACACCAGTCCAGTTGTGTTGGAGGGCCCTGAGTGGGCAGACCCTGATATTCTCAACAGGTGAGATTGCACTGTCTGTCTGTCTTGCCCAACACACTGTCATACCCAACACACTGTCATACCCAACACACTATCATACCTAACACACTGTCATACCTAACACACTATCATACCTAACACACTGTCACACCTAACACACTATCATACCTAACACACTATCATACCTAACACACTATCATACCTAACACACTGACACATCTAACACACTGTCACATCTAACACACTGTCACACCCAACACTGGCACACCTAACACATTGCACCAAGTGCAGTAAGATCACTCATTATTTGTGTAATATATAATATTCATAAGCAGTTTGAGACTTAAAACACCACATTTGGCATGAATGTTTTCATCTCCTCTTTTTTGTCAATCTGTTTTCTTGCCTACATTTATATAATAACATATCTTTCACACAGCAAACCTGAGAAGAAGCTGAGTTTCAATGAGTATGACAAAACCTACAAAGTGAACAGGAAAAGCTTCGAAGGGCAGTACAAGATAGACAAGAATGGCCTGCCTCTCAACCCCAAGGGTAGGACGGGACTGATGGGGCGCGGACTGCTGGGACGCTGGGGACCAAATTTCAGCGGTGACCCTGTTGTTACCAGGTATAGTTTATATGAGTACACATTGAAATGTTTTCTCTGCCTGTTGTAATTTCATTACATTTTGTTTCAGACACACAGCCTTTGAAATATACATTTATTTATTTATTTATTTATTTATTTATTTATTTATTTATTTATTTATTATTTTTTTGTCACATAAATTTTATGTGTGTGTTAAAATGTCATACACTTCAGACATGCTGATATGCCTTTCCTTACAGTAACTGATATGGATTAGAACTTAAAAAACTTGGTAAGATTTATATGTAGGTCAGAGATACAATTTGGTCATGAAAACATCTGTTGGATTTAATTTGGAATGTGTCTTTTTAGGTGGAAACGTGGTGAAAATGGCCAGATTGTTGTTGAAGATGGACGAAAAGTGTTAGAATTTGTGGCTATTCAACACAAAGATGGCAACCGTGAATGGGGCATCCCAGGGGTAAGGAAGACATGGCAGAGTGAGAAATGTAGAATTTTACTTTTGCGATATTTCAGTTTTACAGACAAAAAAATTGAAAGATTCATGAAATTGTTGTCAGTACCCTTTGTACAGAGCCATGAGAGAAAGCCACATGGCTTGATCCAAAATGGTGAAAATATTTTAAGAGACCATAAAGCTAAATATCTCCCCTAGCACACTGGGCGTATTTAAAAAAAATCATTTAACAAAAAAAAAAAAGATATATATATATATACGTATATATATAGAGAGAGAGAGAGAGAAAGCCTTTTCTAACACAATGGACATGTTTCTCCCCTAACACAATGGACATATTTCTCACCTAACACAATGGGCTTGTTTCAGGGTATCATCCAGCCTGGTCAAAATGTCCTGGACTGCTTGAGGATGGAATTTGCTGAAGAAGCTATGGGTGAAGATGCCGCAGATTCTTCCCAACGCAAAAATGAAAAGTTGGAACAGTTGATACAGAAAGGACAGAAGGTAGGTATCTCTAACTGAATATTGATATCCAGAAAATAAATGAGTGTATGATAACTAAAATCCTTTAGTGAAATATTTTATAATTGCAGTCATTCATTTCTATAAATTTCATATTGGAATATAAAAATTTTAAAAATTTTATATGTTGGGAGCAATTTGTTTATTAACAAGTTGAAGGTTATAAGGACACAGAGCGTCATTAGAGTATGGAAATAAAACAATAGTACGAGAAATATTGCACTAGTCCATAGAGATCAAAAGGTCTTTTCATCTCTACTATCTACCAAACTGATGAAAGTTTTTAAACAAATATTTCACTACCTATCACTGCTGTGTTTTTTCTATTCAGGTATATGAGGGCTACGCAGATGATCCCCGGAATACGGACAATGCCTGGTTAGAGACCACAGCCTATAATTACCATGATGAAGAGGGCAAGATACTGGAAACCTTGAACCTGAAGGTAGGTGGGGCTTTTCAGAATACCACAATAACTATCAGGAATTGGTGGCCATTCATTCTATTTATTTATTTTCATTATTTTGTGAATTTTTACATCTCTTCGGAAGATTGCATAATGATGACAATAATAATGATTTCATGCATAATGATTTCATACGTCATAAATAAACTCACTAATTAACAGTCTATCTTACCACACTTTCAAAGCCAGGGTAGTTTTGATATGTGTGTAGGCCACTATTAATATTTCTTATTTTGGAACATTCTCCCATTTCAGGCGGGGGCTTCAGTTGAACATGTTGCCTGGCAACCAGTGAGCTCCAAGATTCAGCTGTATGGAGGCCACCTGAACACGCTCAGACAGGTGGCACTGAACAGAAACGCAGCTTTTTAAAACCATGAAGGGCAGGCGAAGGGACTCCCTACATTTTAAAATGGCAGATGCAGTCACCTCGTAATAAATGTAAAAAGACTTTGTACCTGATCGAGGCAAACATAACAACCGCTGAATGCCCAACTGCATCATGATTGCCAATATGTTTCATGTTCTGAATTCTTGTGTCAAAGCACAATAGGGTTGAACTCGATAGATTTTAGTGTGGATCGAAAGGCTCTCCAATTCTGGGCAATAGTAAGGTCAACACCTGCGCTATGTTTGATGGGCACGTTTGGAAGAAAGAAAGTCTAGCTACTAGCTTGCAGTTACTCTGAGTACATAATGTTTTAAGTGTACTTTGTGTAACAGAGACAAAATGCCACAATTATCATCATCGACTCAACCACCTTGATCTGAATGTTATTTGTGGGGTACTCTGTAATCGTGTTTGTGAGATGTGCCTGTGTAGTAACTAAGCGTGATATTACGTATGTTTTACCCAACTGTGATAAAAATTTACATAATCAATTCTATGTTTTAACAAAGGAGAAATGAAAATTTTAAATGCCAAAAGAATGTAGCATAAAAGGAAGACATTATGAAACTGGAAGTGGAGTTTGATATTTACTTTTGTTGTTTTGTTTTGCTCATCATTGAAATTCATGTACTGTCCTCATAGTGCATTGGTATACAATGAATGTTGTATGTAATTGTATATTTGTCTGCACTATTCTTCTTTCATGAATTCTCTTAAGAGAACTAGTTTATAGTCAGGGTAATCTATTATATGATTATTTATCCAAGATGTATATGTAATCTCCGTCCAGTATTTGCATAAATTAATCAGGGTTGAAATCTTGTTGGAATGTTTAATAAATAACATGACATTAATCAGTACAACAAATGGAAGGCATAATATTTGTTTTTTTATTTCATTATTTAGTTTGTTTGCCATTATTTTTTTAAATAATATGCATTTTGATTTTATAGAAAAACATAACATTCCATAAAATATTTTTCTAGTGCTGTTGTAAACCATATTTAACATATACTAGTGTATTACTCCGTCCGTCTGTAAATTTTTAGTGCATTTTTGAGGTGTAGGCCTTCATCCACGACTGATTAAATGTATAAAATAAATTATACATTTTTATTTTTGGGTGTTTACACATTTGTTTTAGATGAAATAAAAAAATAGAAAACCAACAGAGTTGGACAACAGTTGTTATGATTTGGTGATGGAAAAACAAATTTACACATTTAAGCAAGTTTAAACAGTTTAAGCTGTTATTGAGCAGTCTTCAATAATGCGATAAGGCTTATATACTTTTTAATAACTGTAGGTATCCTCTGAGGCTCTTCTCTACCCTTCAATTAATATCTTTATACTTCCCTTTTACTATTACAAACAATTCAAATCTGGAAGTTTAATATAAATTTATTTTTACATTCAAGCAAACACTATGGCTACAAACCACACAAGCCAACATAAGCAATACTAGGCTAACACAATACTTCGTGGCAAGGACTCCATGATCTTTACACTGAAAGTCTGTACGTCTCAAAATGACCCCATTTTCTCCACAAAAGATGTGGGCCACATGATGTACTGAATTCAAGAGAGAGGTAACTCCAGTCCTCACTTGCAGCCAAAGTTTTCTTTAAGTCCATGATATCNAAACACTATGGCTACAAACCACACAAGCCAACATAAGCAATACTAGGCTAACACAATACTTCGTGGCAAGGACTCCATGATCTTTACACTGAAAGTCTGTACGTCTCAAAATGACCCCAATTTCTCCACAAAAGATATGTGAGCCACATTATGTACTGAATTCAAGAGAGAGGTAACTCCAGTCCTCGCTTGCAGCAAAAGTTTTCTTTAAGTCCATGATACCAATCTTGCCTCACCATCCATCAATTATGAAAAATCAAATTGATTCTTTTTTTAAGCGCTTCACTTTTAAGTACACTTCCCGACTCCCATTGCAAGCCAGCCAGTGAAGATTTAAATTTAAAAAGGTGTAAAACTACAGGTATACTATTCTCATGACTTGGCTGCCCCTGTCTGTGCTGCGGCTGCATATGACTGCTGTTGGGCGGCTAACTGCGCCTGTACTCGGAGTTGCAGTACCTCCATCACAGCTGAAATTAAAAAAAAACAAAAAAACATTTAAACATTTCTAACAAAAGAAAACTGAATTGGTGGTTGGCAAGAATTCTGATGTACAACTTTTGTCACCTGATTGCTTATTATGTACACTGCAATAAGAGCACAAAATTCACTTTGTGCTCTAAGAAAATATAAAGAAATTGGAACACTTCCCACAAGGGGATATGCTGCCAAATGAGACCTTCGTTTATTTACATAGTTATGCCTTATTTCTCAAGTTATGTAATATCCAAGAAAAAAGGAACTTAAGGTAACAAAATGCTTTATATAAATACCACAATGGGTGAAAATGATCATGTTTTCTGTGGCTGCCCACCTTGTTTGGTCCTATATTTATCCTGTAGTATAGGCTGTAGTTTCTCCATCTGTTTGGTAAGGTAATCCACCTTTCTTTGGAAGTACTGCTTGGCATTCTCCACCTCCTGGAGACAGAATATTACACATTTATTTAAATAAATACGTAAAAATAATTGAATTATAAATGCATTGATTCCAAAGATATTCAGCAGAATTAAAGCCTTTACCATCACAAAATAACTTTGTTTTAACAAATTTAAAAATATTATTTAAAAACAGTGTCTTTGGCTGCTGAGCCCTTTGAACCATTTGAAACCACTGCAACAAGGAAAGACTTTGACATTCTGCATTGATTTTTATGAAAGTGGAGTTTATGAACAATCCTAAAATGGTAATAATACAACTATTAAATCACCTGTTCCACATAATACCCTGTTCCTATATCAACAAGAACATTGCTTACATCTGACAGCTTTCCTGGAACATACATCTAAGTCTGAAGTCAAGGAGCAATAATAATAATAATAATTATAATAATAATAATAGTAATATTATATAACATTATTACTACATTATAATGTGAGGTTGACATTATCATTATTAACGACTTGGAAAAATTTTTTGTTCATCAATCTGCATTTTTTTTTTTTTGGGGGGGGGGGGGTACTGATCCAGAGAGAGAGAGAAGGCATATTTAAAAAACAACAACAATAAAAGTAATCATTATCATTAACTAGACAGATAAACGAAAACAATGCAAGTGATTCTTAGTGAAATGTGACAAAGATAGACACGCTCCACAGCAGCTACGGGCAATTTTTAACCCCTCTCCCTCTCTCTCTCCCTCTCTCTCTCTCTCTCATATCAGTAAGGAAGGATACAGAGCTGGTCAAGGGAACAAGGACATCTTTCCCATCTGTCTCTGGGCTGATTCTTCCGAGACAATCCTGAGATTCAACAAACTTCTGCTGGGCCATCTTTAGCTGACTGAGGGAGGAGGTAAAGAATTCTATCTCCTGAAACACCAAAGTCAATTTCAACTTGTTCAAAAAAGCATACATTTGTTCAAATGTTCCTTATGTGAAGAAAGATTCACAAACTGAATATTAACCTTAATTCTATGCCTTGAATAAAAAATTATATTGACATTACAAAACGTAGTAACTAACACGCCATTAAAATCAGAACAAAAGAACATGTTACAACCATCGAATGACTCCTCTTTCCCTCCCAAAAACATTAATTAACTTAAAATGAGGTACCTCTTGTTACATGTCAGTTAGCCTACTGCCTAGGTTACAAGGGGAAACAAGATGCCCCACTTAGCATCATCTACTAAAATGTATAAAACACCAATTATCCTAAGAGTAGCTTTATTCATTGGAAACCATAATCTTAAACACATGCAACCTTACCTGGTCTATTTGTTGCGATAATTGTTGTAATTGTTGAATATTTAGAGCCGACAGATCTATTTGCTTGGCCGCCATTTTAGCTTCTTGTAACAGCGGTGGAGATTTGTTGCCCTTTTCTCCAAAAGTTCCCGGATATGTACGCAACTTACTGGAAGTAAACAAGACCGTGTGCAAGGACGACAATTTCTATTTGAGAAATCTCATTCCTAGGTAACCCCACTGCTTGTAACGTCACGCTAGAAACATGGAGTAGAGATGAGATCGTAGCTCCTCTAGAATATAGCAGTTGTGTTTTAAGAGCTAGGTTGATTTGGTTCGAAAACGCGCCAACGTGGGACTTGGTTTTGCTCTTGACTTTGTTGACGTCAAGGCCAGAAGGCCAGTGAAAAGAAACGACTTGCGCTGTAGGTGATCGCTGATGTAAAAGTCACCTTGTCACGCAGCATGTACGGTAACATTTTTCTTGATTTAAATTCAGATACAAACAGCCTGGAAAAGTGGTTTTGTGGAGCGTCCCAAGACAAGAGCAGAAAGGCCTTGGAAGGGCGAGGTCGGAAAAGAAATTTTGCGAAGTTCAGCAAAGTTTCCGGCTCGCATTCCCATTCAGGCAAACCAAAGACTGATCGAAAAATGGCTCACACCCCCGATGTTCACTCAAATATCACAGCAAACGCACTGCACGGATGGAGGGTAGATGACATTAATGATGGGCTGGCGGCTGATTTTGATGGCTCTCTGTCAGGTTTGGGGGAAGAGCTCGGATCATCAACATATAACATGAGGTAAGGTGTGTGTGTGTGTGTGTGTGTGTAAGTACATGTATGTGTGTGTGTGCATGTGTATGTGTGTGTGTGATAGAGAGACAGAAAGAGAGGAGAGAGAGAGTTTTCAAAGAATATTTGTGATAATGACATGGAAGGGTGTTAATTACAGAACTGCACTCATTAACCATAGAATTGATTGCTCTTTGTAAGAAACATTAAAAATTTGATAAGAAATAATAGATCAAAATGATGCTGAACTTACTTACTGCTGAAAGATGATCAGATGTATGCCTTATGGTGAAAAAGGAAAATCAAAAAAATGACTGAACTTACATAGTGAAAGTTGATAAAGAAGAATAGAAATTGAAAGCTGTTCATTACTCCAAAAGGCTGGTTATTATAGATTCTTAACTAGGCAAGTTCTTTTTGTGTATTTTTGTACCAAAATGTATCAGATCCTGTTCTGTCAGTTTAATGGTACACAATCAGTAGTCCCATAATAAAAACATTTATCTTGAGCATTTTGAAATTTTGCCCCCTCTTTGTATTGTCAAACGATAGGATTTAACATTTGTTTTCTTATATGATAAAATCTTGTAAAGTGGATGATGTGTGAACATGGTATCAGGTTAATAAGATTTTGATATCAGGTGTTATGTTTGGTGTTGACAAGCTCAAAGATAGTACACAGGTTTAAAGGATGATCTCTGGGATTATCCCACTAAATTGATTTTTTCCTCAAAAACAAAGCCATTTTTGCCAAATAAAGAATTGTTGCTGGACCCATCTTGGATTCAAAGAAGGATGAGAGTATACAGGTGGTTAAAATATAGGCATGTTAGAAACAGGAGGTGTGTTAATCTGTCAACCTGATTGCTTTCAGCAGGAGAACCTGGAGAGATGGATCTTTCTAGTAGAGTAATGGCTTCATTGAGAATTAGCCCTGAGGCTCCATGCTGAAGGAAAACTTGTAAATTTACAGATTTTTGGGTATAGAAAACACTGGTTTTGTATGCAGGCATATGCTGAAAAGTTTGGATCATATTTACTGCAGTTCCAAAGTCTTTTTTCGAGTCCTTGACGTTAAATCTGTCCCCTATTCTAGTTTTGTTTCTGAAACCATTTGATAACCTTGAAAAGAAGTGCCATGCCCTTTTACGATTGATCTCGATACCCGTAAGTATCACCTTGTGTGCTCACATTTGGACTGGCTTTAGAATGGGGTCATGTATTCCAAGTGCCATCCATCCACAAAACAGCAAGGAAAAATAAGATTTGTGTAAGAAGGTCACCTTCATTGGTTAAGTACCGTTGTGATCTTAATTAAAAAATGAGGTTAAAAGAGAGGTTGATGCACTCAAGTTAAAGTTTGATGATAGAAGACTTCTTTGCTGCATGCCTGCTGGTGAAATCATTGAACACTATATATTTATGCCTTGGTTTACCATGTTTTTCTTTCGTGAAATCACACCTTTTGTGTCTGTGCTTTGAAAAAAATTTTAAAAGCCCGTGTCTTGCTAGGGGTGATCATTTAACAGGCAAACTGACACCAGCTAATTCAGTTTGCTCCAGTGTAGCCACATTCCCAGTGTCAGGTGCCTCATACTACTATCTGTCTTTATACAAATATTTATAAATTTACAATCAACAGGTGCTAATGTTTATCATTTTGCCGCACTCCTTCACCACGCTGATGTAACTGTGTCACATGGAATAGGCATCTTCATGATTTTATTTATTTTTTCATACTGGAAAAATTTGAAGAAATTTTTGAAGTGGATTTGTTCAATATCTTTATTTTCCTCTATTCATATTATTTATGAATTTATGTAAAACTGTAGTTTAGAGAGCTTGTAAAATGTAACTGTACACATTTTAATGCTCAGTCAATTAAATTATTAAATTATTATTATTATTATGCTTGCCTGTGTACATTTGGTTTCATCTTAACCAATGAACATATTTTTGGAAAGCTGTCTAAACAAGGTTATAAAATACAAATACTAAATACTTAAATTTACAAAGTTTTCAACTTAACCCCCCCCCCCCTCTTCTCTATATGTCCTAGGAAAGCAAACCAAAAATGATGCAATGACTCAAGTTTATTTACTATAACATCCATTGCAATGTATCACAGTGCATTGAATCACTTTTTGTTCAACCTATAAAATCAATTAAGCCGAGGCATGCTGTAATAAAAATAAACCTAACTCTTGGTAACTCTAGACCATTGAGCTTGCCTAGTTAAAAATCAAGATGGGTCTTGGTCACTTAGTCCATCCACTTATCTCTGGTCAGTGCAGGTGGCCCAAGTCGTCTACATTTCCTACTAAATCTCTGACCAAAGCTACCTGCGCTGGCCCTGTACTTGACCAGTGCCCACAACAGACCTATATTTTGTCCAGTGAGGGCAGACTGTTACGTATACTCTCCCTAGATTGTGTCCACAAGATGTTATGTAATATATTGAAAGGTGTGCCCTGGGCAGACGGGGTCAAGGATGTTGCTGTGTTTGGGTTATGGGAGGCGAGGGACCTAGGTTTGGACTCTTGGTGCTTTACAAATAGATGAGATCCAGGGTAAAAATGATAATGAAAATGTGATAATTATTATGCAGAATGGGAAGTTCTTGAAATGGTACTCCCCATTGGTCATGTAAGGGCATAACACAGAGGTTTTGACGTGGTATAAACACTCGAGTCGTGTGAATAATAACAACAATAATAATAACAATAATAAATCTTGAAGAGAGCTCTTTAAAACCACACTTCACGTTGGTCTCAGTATACATACGTATATACCTTGCATCATACATTTTCAAGCTGACAAAAGGCAGTATTCACCCAGCCATTATGTCTACCATATTATGCAATGTGGCCTTTAATGATTACTACAGCATCTCGTCCCCATTGTGGTTAGTGCCAGTGTTGCGTGTCCTAAACGTATTCACATTGGGATGATCCTTGACTGGTAATAGTCCTTTTGATGTCACTTGAGAATATTATATTGCTTAAGTCAGAGAGGAGGAGCTGCTGTGTAAAATGGGGGAGTTTTGCAGGAGGACTATAGCCTGTAAACTGGTCAAATTTTAGACCGAAATTTGAGCCCACATTGACACAAGATAAATCAGTTACTTTAGTGCTGTAGTAGTCCAAGTAAATAAAACACTACATATGTTTATAATAGGAAAGACATAGCTTTGTAGTGTTTGTGTTTAGTATTAACATTGCTGTCCATTCTTCGGGACCATTCCCAGAACCTATCACACTAACTATGGTTCGTTCTATCTCCAAGGGGATTCTTGCTAAATTACAATCAATTTAAAGCAGCTTAGATGTCTGTCACGCCTACTGAAGCTACTGGGGGGTAATAAATAGTTGTTTAGCATCTTCAGTAGGTGTGCCAGACATTTAAGCGGCTTAAACTGAAAGCAATTTAGCGAGAAACCTCTTGAAGATGGACCGATCCTGTTAGATCAATCTACTAGTGGGTTTTGGAACCCAGTCATAAAGATACATCTGAACTGAGTGTGGGTGGATAGTCCATTCCCAGTAACCCATATAAACCACTTAGAACTACTAGTTTCTTCTACAGCTCAAATTAAGTTCACATGCTAAGGGATAAACAAAATAAATGACTCAATCAGCTATAAAAAGTTTTTAACTACATCTTCAAATTTTTGGTCATAAACTTGACCTACTTTTCTGCTTCATTTATATGCAGTACAGAAAGCACAGAAAAAAGTTCAAATATCATTTTTCAGGTAATATATAAAACAATGTCCTTTGGCTTTTATCTAAGTTATACTATTTTTGCTTTTGTGGCAAAAAAAATTGACTTCAAATGCATCTTAAAGTGTGGATGTGCATGACGGTGTGAGAGAGAATATTGTACATTTTATATTTTGTTACATTTCAGCCACCCTAAAAAATATTGTCTTTTCTCCATATTTATTATAATAATATTTGAAAACTTTGCAATCGCTGCTCTACTGCCAGGTTTTGCTGTCAATGCCAAACGTTGCTTTACTATCAAAAAGAACAAAAAAATCTGTATTTTTAAGGGGCATGAATATCATTACAAAACTTGTATTTTGGTTGTTGAACATTGTTAAGTTAATACACTGGTAAAGTTTTTCCCAATTTACTCACCATATTCTGTTGCTTTTCTAGCGAGGCCCTTTTAGCCCTCCAAGAGTTCAAGGAAAAGGATAATCTGAACCATTCCGGGTAATCGCCTCCTTACACTGAGATATTCCTCCATAATGCTCTACGCCTGTCATGATCATTATACTTTTCATATATAAACAGAGCAAGCATTCATTATTCAACACCATAGCTCTATTGGGTGACATTGTATCAATCATGGAAGGCTAGGATGAAGATTGGTATTTTTTGTGGGGTGTAGCTATGCTGATAGGAAAGATTTCTATATGAACTGTATAGATTTAGACAACTTATGAAAAAATGTGATGAGGAAATTATTTTTGTTTGTTTATTTATTTTATTTATTTTCCCCTTTTTCAAAAAAAAAAGGTGAATGTCGTCTTTTAACCCTAATGACACTGAGAATGCAAGAAAACTAAAACTGATCATAAATTGGTATAGCAAAATTTGCACGTGCAGAATTCAGGAGAATACACGTTCTGCTGCACATGATATTTGGCCTACAGGGTGAAGAGAAGATTCGATAGCTCATTATCAGTTCGTATTTGACTAGAACTGTTTGTACAGAGTTAGCGAAGGTCATGACATTAGCTTTGACCCAGGGAAAGATGTAACACACTACTTTGTCAACTGTATATGTTATGTAAGAGGCAGAGAAGGGGGATTCCAAGATGTAAGACACGTCCCGCACGAAAATGCAGTAGTATCGAAGTAGCAAAAAAGCATTAACGCAGTAGTGGTGTGGAGCATATTTGCAGTAGAAATGCAGTATAGCCTACTGCAATTCTACTTCAAAAATTACATAGGGTTGTACAGAGGAGGAGCATTAATGCAGTAGATTAGCAGCATAATAGAAGCATGTTTCAAATATGCTAATGAGCTCCCACATCGAAGCAGATTCGAAGCATGTTTGCAGTATGATTGCAGTAGTCTACTGCGCTGGAGTATCTACTTCGTTTTCGTGCAGGACTTTACTTTGTCAACTGAAGGTGTTATGTAAAAGGGAGGGAGGGAGGAATTCCAGGGACTTCTTAGATGTCCATCTCTTACATCATGCTACAAGGGGGAAGATGGTGATATTCTGTTCTAAAGAGAGCAAACCTGACACATAATTGATGGACAGAAATTTAAATCCCTGAAACCTTAAATAAGTGAGAAGTTGAGGATCCAAGAGTTTGGCTAGGGTGGGGTAGGGTTGGGGGGGGGGGGGGGGCTTGGAGCTAGATTTCTTTTCCGTCTCTTCAAATGTCATATTTGTGTGTAAGAAATATTGTCAGTTGAAGCTAAGTGGAGGTGTGTGTAGGGGGGGGGGGTGCAGGGTGACCCTTGGCATGCCATTCTGTTTTATAGGATACTTAAGAGCATGTTTTTTCTTTTACTTACATCAAAATTTACAATTGCCTGCTCCTGTAGAGAATCATGTAGGGAATTCATCATTCATAGAATCATCTTAGTTGCCTGAAATGAAATTATTCATTGGTTTTCATTTTTACAAAATATGCATGGTGCCTTATGGAGGAATGTTTCAGCGTTCTAGAGAAAAAAAATCAATTCCCCAAGTAAACCAGTTAAGAAAAGAAAACATTTACTAGTAGTCTAAAAAAAAAACAGATGTGTGACTCTTTGTGGTACAGTGTGACTAACCACCACACTCTCGTAGATTATTAGTGCATAAACATTAATATTCTGTTGGCATACAAGTTACATAATGAAATCATTCCATATGGAGCTTTTTTTTAGGGCTCATTCCCAATGCAATTATCCTTCTACATAAAGCAGAATTTCCATTGGGAATGTGCCCTTAAACAGTGTGTGCCTTAACCACGTCAGCTCACAGGTCACATCCAGTAGTAGAACTCGGATATTCACTGGATTTAGGACACATTCAGATTCAGACATCATTCCAGCTGGGTCGATCCAACTCTTTGAAGATTCACACTAAAGTGCAATCAGTGTAATCAGCTTAATTGCCTACCATGCCTCCTCAAGCAGCTAGGGGGTAATTAAGCCGAGAACACATGAAAGTTGGATTGGCCCAGCTGGTGCAATGTCTGAATCTGAATGCGGACTAAAAATGACCAGTTTGAAGGTCAAGGCTATTAATATTTGAAATAAATCTTAGATATTGGCTAAAATTTCCACAAGTCCTAAAGCACTAGTAGTTTAAAGAAATTAGATGTTTCTATGATTTCAAAGCTAACTCTGTGACTCCTTCCCGTGGAAAAGTGTCACACACTGTTTAACAATACATGTTTTTTTTTCTTCAGGATACTTAACTCTTGTTATTCTTTTATTTATAGCTGATTGGTACTTTAGTTAGTGCTGAAAGAGATTCTTTAATCCTGATAACAGATCAACCCAGAATATTTGTCAATCTTCTCTGAACTTATATAAAGTATTTAAAGTTATACTTGTTAAAAGCTCAGGTGTTGTGGTTTTAAGGGCTACTATTCATGTTGCAGGGGCGGATTTAGGCCGTCTTCTGGGTCTTCCGGAAGACGGTCAGATTTTCAAGTTTACATAGACGGATATTAAACTTTTTTGTCGGAAGACGGTCAAAAATGAGGATGGATCAACAAAGATATTTTGGAAGACTGTCAGAAAATATCTCTGGATCCGCCCCTGTGTTGCTATGCTTTTCTTTCAGAAGTATCACGACCCTATATGCTAAACTACTTAAATTTGTGTTTGGAAAAGTATATTAGATTGAACTTAATTTTGAGAATTTTCAGTGAAATTGTTGACTCGGTACTTCATATGTGCCAAATATCTGGTTCATGCTTTATCCTGTTGGTCTCCTCATGGTCTTCAGGAAAGTGCTGACACCTATAGTCATTTGGTCAGACACCTGGTTCTGTCCCCACCATGGACAGAGTCTTAATAAGTAAATATCTGTAGAAAACTGTAGTTTGCCCATTGCTTTTGTCAAATCACCAATGATGAAAATGATAGAAATAAAATTAACCAACAAAGAAACACTTGTAGTTCTGTTTAGATATTGCAAAAGTTGGGATCCTTTTCCATTTTGAAAAAAAATAATTTTTTGATTGGCTCTTTAGACATCTGATCATATCTGCCAGTGGCTACAAGTCGTAGATTATAATAGAATTTGATTTTTTTTTGTTTTATCAGTATTGATTGATATTGAATACAGTTAACAGTTACTAGTTCTAGTGTCCAACTATCAGTTCTCTGTCCTTGCTTATAAATATAAATATTTTCATTATACTTTATACCTATTCTACTCCCAGATCCACAACACTCAGATTTTTCCAGCAGATTTGATCACCAAATGAGACAGACTGAGATTTCCTGCAGTAAACTAATGGGAAATAGACTTTTCAATCATCCCACTGACTTAGGTATTGATTTTCTTTGATTTGCCATTTCAGCGAGGCTCTACTGGCACTGCCTGTGTTTAAAACCAATTCATTGGCTGGAGAGCTCAGGAGGTATGGCATTCCTGTAGTGTAAGGGCCGGTTCAGAACCAGTTGAACCAGGGACTAACTAGTCCGTGGATCAAATATAGCCTGTACCTGATAATGGTTTCCCTCTTCCCAGCCTGCCCTCCCAGCAGGGGCAGAACAATTATGTCTTGGCATGCTTTATTTGATCTGCTGACTAGTTAGTGTGTGGATTAACTGGCGTTAAACAGGTCCTTAGTTTCATTTCTATGAGTTAATACCAAGTCCATTCTCAAAGATAGAATTACTTTAAAAAAAAGGCGAGAATAAAAAACAAGAAAAGTAAGTCATTGTATCAGACACGAAGAACCCTTTGTCAGTGCCTAAGAAATATTTTTACAAGATATTCACAGACATTTCTCTGACTAATTCTGCACACATTCCTGGCCAGCAAGACAGTTTACACAGAATTTGCAGAGAAATGTCGTCCATCACCTTGTTTTTCCTTGGAAGAAAGCAGCCACTGACCTTTGTTTATTTCTTTTTATTTTCCATAAAAGGTCATCCAACTCTGACTCCACTTTAGACTGTGGCCAATCACAATCAAGCCAATTGACGTCAAAACAAAACGGAACTTTGAGCTTCATGCTGAACGACAGGTAGGTGGTGCCTTTGAATTTGGACTATAGGTGGCGCTTGAAACAACAGGCATACATGGTGCTTGTAGTAGGAAGTAAATGGTGCCAAAAATGGGTGTTGTAATATTTCCATTGAGTAATGATATGTGTACACAAAATGTCTTGGCCACAGAAAAATGAAAATTTTGTTTTGTTTTTGGCTTTGAATATTATAATCGTGTTCACAGCCATTTTGAAATCTTATGTAAAGGTACGGACATACTAACTCTTTGATCTGTTTGAGCAATTCTGCCAGTTTGATGTAAAATTTTTAACCCTGCCAATGAAAAATTAACTAGTAGGCACTTGTTTATACACTTAACCAATTAGATTAGTAACTTCCAAAATTTCTATTTCCTGCCAGTGAAAACGTTGGCAGATGGGTGGACTGTTTTGCATAAAATACCTTAGTCCAGCCCTACGTTCATTTTACATTACTATACTCCATTATTTTACTGACTTAAATGGAAGTTTGCAAGCAACACTGGCATGGCACTTATCATTTGATGTTCTTATGTATATGTAGACTTCAACATTCATTCAGTGGAACATCACGGTGAATTTTATGTGAATCTTAACATAATAAGAGAACATTTTAATGCACTGCAAGAGAAATTGTTTGGATCTTTGAAGTGAAATAAAAGCTTTTTTCCACAAATTAAGAACCTTTTCAAATTGGTTCATCTAAATGTTTTATGCAAAGATAAAGAAGGAATCGAGGTCGCAGTGTTTAGGCCCTCTCTCAAAACCTTCTGTGCTAGGTCTTATATTTGAAATGAACATCACTGTTAAAGTCAGGGACTCTTGGGGGGGGGGCATCCCATGCAGATTGTCACCATGTAATAACGATGACAACTTGACCTCAGTTTACCTGAAGAAAGTTTTGTGATGGGGCTTAAGCATTGTGAACTCAAATCAAAAAGCAAAATCCAGAGTGAGATGTATATAAAATTCCATCTTTATCTTTGTATTACAAAATAAGATGAATTAATTGGAAAATATTTATTTTGACAGCTGGAAATTGCGCTTGGGTACTCCAGAGTAAAGCACTTGGATCTTTCAAGTGAAGCATCAGTGGTGGTTCTAATTTGTATTTATTAACTTTTTGCAAAAAAAGCTTTTATTTTACTTTTAAGACCCAAACAATTTTTCTAGCAGTGCATCAGTTCCTTTTCAACCTCATTTTTCTACCATTTGAAAGGATAATATTGCTCACACTTATACACTCATCATTCCTCATTCATATGATTTCAATGAGAAAGTCAGCCATCTGCAAAAGTAGTTATTATGGCTTATTATTTGCCCAACTTCAGTACAGTTCTATATAATCTGTTGTATTCAGGTTTCAGAGGTGGTTAAACATGTCCCTTTTTTAAACACATAAACATGGTAAAGGTATTGTGATGTAAGCACATTAAGGCTCTGTTCACAACCAAGTTGATCCAGGGACTAACAAACTTAGTGGAACTCACTTGAAAGCTTGCTGCACAATTCCCTTGGGGAATCATTTAGGGGATTATGCGGCATGCCTTCAAGTGGGTGTGCTCAGTTAGTCCATGGATCAACTTGGTTGTGAACTTAGCCTATCACAAGCCAGGTTTCATATTTTTGATTGTAACTCTTTCAAAGATGGCTGCCATTCTCATATGAGTCATCATGTAGTAAGTCAAACTAGCAGAACAAAATAAGCATGTAATTGTATATGTGACTGTTTTGGGTGCAGTCCAATAAAAAATGAACCATATCAAAGGCTGTGATCTCTTTAATAGACTTGTGAATCAGCTGCAGTTCCTTTGGTCTGGTTTATATTTTTAATGTGAATGCCCCTTCAATGTATTTAATATTATCAATTTTGCATTGAATGCTGCAAATTTAGAGGCATATGAGCAGTTTGATGTGAATTACTCCCCCCATTTAAATTTTTGCTTAAAATTATTGTTCTTTTAATCAGTGTATGTATGCATATGCACTTATTTTACAAATTGTTTCCATAGCTTATTTCTATAAACCAAGAAACTTGATCTCAAATTTTGTTGTCTTTTAAAAGGCAATCATATTTATAATGAAGTTTTTTAAAAACTTCATCGTAAAGACCATTAACATGGCATATTTATATATTACAATCACACTGCTCGATCTTTTCACATTTCAAAAGATTGCTATTTTGCCTTTACATTTGTAGCAGTAATACTTTCATTCTTTGCATTTGATTTTGAAAAACTAATGTCTTTATATAGGAGCAGATGAACAAGATGTGAGTGTGTATCCATGTGTGCTGGGATGTTTCTGTGTATAATGTCAACTAACTGGATATTAGACAGTGTCAGAGTCCAATGTGAATTTGTCAGTGGCCAAGTGAAGTTTTTAGTTGGCAGTGGACAAGTGAATTAGTCTGCAAAGGAAGGTGTTTGGTGTCTTAGTAAATCTTAGGGAAAATGGATGTCTTGAGCAAGTAAATATTTAAGTGGGCAAGTTAACTAGTCTGTAAGTGAATTAGTCAGTGGGCAAGTGAATAAAAGTGTATTAGTCTGCGGGCAAATGAAATAGTGTGCAAGTGAATTAAAGTGAATTAGACAGTGGGCAAGTGAATTAAAGTGAATAAGACAGTGGGCAAGTGAATTAAAGTGAATTAGACAGTGGGCAAGTGAATTAAAGTGAATTAGACAGTGGGCAAGTGAATTAAAGTGAATTAGACAGTGGGCAAGTGAACTGAAGTGAATTAGTCTGTGGGCAAGTGAATTGGTCAGTGGGCAGGTGAATTAGTGGACAGGTGAATTCTTATTTGGCAAGTGAATTTGTCAACAAGCAAATGGATGTGTTGGTGGACTTAGTGAAATTGATGGTGCGTGAGTGAACTTTTCAGTTTGAAAGTGAATCAGATTAATTTGTCAGGTTTCATGATAATTGGATTTGTGAAATTTGATGAACTTAAAAAAATTATTTAACTATGACTAGGCAAAAAGAAATTTTCAGGCTCTTTAAAAGGTTAAACAAAATACTTATGAGACAGAGAGATCAGCTTTCTGTAACAATGAAATTTATCACAGAATTTGTCATGAAGTTTTGGAAAAGGACCATTCAGTGTTCGGGATAGGTTTAGGAAATAGCGCGGAGAGTAATTCAACTGGTCTATATTTGATTTCGATTTTTCAAACCAAAAATGTTTCACAAAACATGAACTTCATCAAAATTTTTTTATGGAAATATTTCACAAAAAATAAATTGTTAAGTTTTGAAAAAAGTGCCCGCAGGCCTTTCCGTATTTCTGTGGCTGCGACAGCTCTTCAAAAGTAGCTCTTCAGGGTTACTGAAGTACGTAATTGTCCATTGATTATCTCCAAAACATAATGCACATGGTCACTTTTAATAGAGTTCTTATAAAAGATTATTTTATCACAACTCACATGTCTGGCTAGTCACTCCACTGGTGACTGCAACCAAATATTTCTTACATCACATTTCTTTCTGTTATTAATGAAAAATGTTTTGGTGTTCTTCTAAGATAGGATGCACTTTCACATCAAAATAATTACATTATGTTATTACACATATATGAGTACAGATTATTGCATTGAAAGTGAAGAGAAACAGGACTTGAAATTATTTTAACCAGTGAGGTAGACTGAGTGAGAAACTTGCAGTCCTACTTTTTTGTACATTCCACTAAATATAAAACCGTTACTGATAAAATGTGTGGGATTTTTGCTAACATGCTGACACGAATTTGGAGGATCAAAAAGTTCAAAATGTAAAAACAGAGAAATATCTCAGTTTGATTTATTTTTGGAATTCAAGGATAAATTCAACCTCTTTTCCTTCATGGTTTTTCAAATCATGGTATAAATGTAATGGATTAGGTTCGTACATCAATCCCACACTTGTCAAGTCAATAATAGATGTACCTTTCCTGGGTGGGAGTATCTCCCTTATCATACCAATTATCCATGTGAATGGTTCTGGAGAAATGTTTCATAGGGTTATCATAGATGCTAGGGCATCTCCATCTGAATGTGACCTTGATGTGACCTTTGTATTACCTTGAATGACCTTCATACGACCTTCGTATGACCTTTGACATGAAAATGCCAGGTGTGTACTGTGTTTTGATTTTTCAGATGCCGTAAGCGTGTTAAACCCATATCTGAGTTTGACAGCCGTCCTCCCGATTCAAAACATCTGGCTGCCAGTAAATTACGTGGTATCACTCTTGAGAGACTACCGCCTTCGCAGAATGAGAGTACAATGTACATGCGGTTTCATGTTTTAATGTAGACAACTACATCTAAGCTCATTGATGATGGGTTTCAGAGTGATAATTATTTTTAAAAATGCTGGGGAGGCGCTAGCAATTTTTTTCATTTAGCCAAATTACTACTTTTTCATTGCTTTTTCGTCCAAATGGTTTAAATTTGACTAAAATGAGTCAAATCAACCCTAATTTGTTAAGCCAATTTCAGTCAATTTTAGCATTTGGCTTAATTGGCGAGTGTTAGCGCTACCCCAGAAATGTGTTTTTTTAAGGGTCAAAATCTAATTGAAAATAATAAAGAAATAGTCTTGGAAATAAGGCATCTTTGCATTTGCCATAAGCTCTGAAATTCATCATAATGCGTTTAGATGTATTGACTTTGTGTGACTATAAAATTAGTTTCTGGTGGCGCAATGGGATTTTTAAAGCAAGGATACATTGTAAGGAGAAGACCAACTTTTGCTGTAAGATGTATGACTTGGCTTTTCTGTTTGTGGAAAAGTCTCCTGAAAAGCTTGTCTTTCCTTGTTTTGTATGTTGTTTTAATCAATCCATTTGTGAGAGTGTTAAGATTGCCTGTTTATATAAATGGGATGGGAAAGTGGGGGTTTGGAATGGTACAGGAAATGGGGTTTGGAATGGGAGGGGAAAGTGGGGTCAAGGCCAGAATAGATCATGCTTAAAGAAATGTTTACATGTTCTGGAACATTAGTTAATCTGTACCCATTTAAAGTTAGTATTCATCAAAGATTGTGAAATATTTTCATAGCTGAAGCACTTCTGTTAGTTACCTCCATGAATGCGGAGATTTAAATTTTTATTTGAAAAATCTCATCATTGTTTTTTTTTCACTTGATATCATGCAGTAAGTTGATTGTATTTTACATGTATACCCAAGTTAAGTCTTTTGAATGAGACTACAAGTTGCTTTTGGCTAGACAAATTGCTTTTTTGTCAGAGAATAGAAAGCTGACATCTTTATTCCAATTTGACTATCTTTATTTTTAATTAATTGATTTTGAAAAGTTTAAATATACATTGGCAAGCATGTACAGCTATACCCTCTCTTTTGGTACAAAAAAAGATAGGGTATGTACAAAGCTTGCTACTAAGATTTCATTTCTGCACGATGTTTTGATGTTTGACTAAAATTGCACAAGAGATCAAATTGGTCATTGTATTGTTTTGATCTGCTGAAACATGGTATCAAATGTTGGAGGGGGGGAAGGGGGGTCTCAAGGTGGCACATTTTGTGCCTCCTTCTCCCTTGCAAGCTCTCCTGATTATCAACAAACAAACCTCTAGGTTAGACAGTTACATCTGGTGTCTTCCCCCATGGCAGTATGTTTCACAATCTTAAAAAATCAAACAAAAAATTCTTGGATAGTTCTTTATCTCTGTATACATATATGTTGCAAACTGCATTGCAGTGGTGAAAAATGCTGTTATATTTCAATAACAGTACTACTTTAAAGAAAGGTCTTCTAACTGTCATCTCTTGTTGCAGTCTCCAATGTATCTTGGTGGCAGCAACATCACCTGCTACGAAGATGAATGAGGAAACCTTGACCTATTTAAACCAAGGTAAGCAGTTGTCATGTTAATTTGTAACTTTTACCAAAAGCACCTATCTTGTGATTTCACAAGTCATTTGTGATGTCATAAGTGAGGTCACCAAACTTGTGTGATGTCAGGCTGTTAGGTCACCAAGTTTCCATGAAGTCATCAAAATATTCTGAGATCATCAGTGATGTCACATGTTTGGTGGCATAATAATGGTAGTTAAGTTAATTGATTGTTTAGGAACTGGCCTTTTTTCAGGGCTGTCTTGGTTAAGAGTTATGATTAAGGTCATTGCATTAAAATCTTAATAAAAATTATTATTTCCTTTGAAGGCCAATCATATGAAATCAAGTTGAAGAAAACGGGAGAATTGAGTGATGATATTAAATATTTAAAGGTTTGTATTTTATCTAATTAATTTTGTATTTAAAAAAAATGACAGTTTGTTAACAGTCTTATTCATATTTAAACAATGCTTTAGTTTTATAGTTGACCACTATTATAGTTGTTTAAAAAGTGCAACTGAAAAGTGAAGAAAAACTATTTTTTAAAATGATTTTCCAAACCTTTGTGATTTCAGAGCGTGGTGCGCGTTGCATTTCATGAGCGTCGTCTTCAGTACATGGAGAGAGAACAGCTGGACTCCTGGAGATGTCAGCGCCCTGGGGAGAGAATACTGGACATAGGTCTGGACTGGTCATCTCTCTTTCTCACTCTCTCTCTTTCACTCTCTCTCTCCCTCTCTCTCTTTCACTCTCTCTCTCCCTCTCTCTCTTTCACTCTCTCTCTTTCACTCTCTCTCTCCCTCTCTCTCTTTCACTCTCTCTCTTTCACTCTCTCTCTCTCACTCTCTCACTGTAAAAAAACTAAGATTAAAAACGTGTTCATGGCAGCTGTGAAGGATACCTCTTTAAAGAAAAACACTAAATCTAAAATATTTCACTTTTAAAAAAATCACATTGAATGAGTTACTATATTTTAGGGCTTAGTCGAGTTTCTATCATCTGGATTCTCATAAAATCTTGATATAAATAAGATTGTTTTCTGTTGCCTAGTTAGCATTATCTAAACCAACACAATCCTTTCAGATGTCCCTCTGTCAACTGGGGTAGCTGACGTCAAAATGGACCCCTATAACATGAACTCTGCAGAGTTTGTCTGGAACCCCTCAAAGGACGCCTCAGCATTCATACGCGTTAACTGCATCAGCACAGAGTTTACGCCAAAGAAGCACGGTGGGGAGAAAGGCGTCCCGTTCCGTATTCAGGTGGACACATATACCCACACCAGTCCTCCCAAACATATCTACAGCGCTTCTTGCCAAGTAAAGGTTTTCAAGGTACGCATTGCATGAAGCAGGTATTTTCTGTTGTTTTAGATAGCATTTACCCCTTGGTGATCTTGTCCTGTGTCGTGTACAGTGTTTTCTTTGCATACCATGAGTTTCTTGTTAATATGGTAATATTTAGTGCAGCCATTGATATTTTTCAAGATGCTTGTGATGTTTGTAATTGATGTTTATCTTTAGTTTGAATATTTTGAGAAAAGTGAATGATTTTCTGTTGTTTTACATTTATCTAGAAATGATTGATTGATTGATTAATTGAAAAAAGATGTTGACTTTTTCCATGTGGTGTCACCTCTGTTGGAACTATATTTATTGTTAAAATGTATTAAATGCTTCATATATATAATGTATAGTAGTAATGTTTTTCATTTTGTCCTGTTCACTGCAGCCCAAGGGAGCCGATAGAAAGCACAAGACTGACAGAGAGAAAATGGAGAAGAGATCAGAAGCAGACAAGGAGAAGTATCAGCCATCCTATGAGTGCACAGTTCTTACTGAGGTATTAACAAGATTGACATTCTTATAGATATGACACTGGCGAATGTCGCAAAAGTCGTATTTTTTGGTAGATTTCAATACTTGCTCAATTGCCATGTTATACCACATCCAAAGGCATGGACCTTGAATTCCTAGTTTCTTGTTCAGAGAAGAATTTCATCAGCTATGTTATGTTATAAGAATGATGTGATTTTTTTCTTCAGTCAACAGCTAATATTCCTTATACTTCCCTGGATAGCCTCATTCCCTGATGAAGATGTCCTGCTAGACATCGTAATATTGGAGGATTTTCTCCATCTTTTTTTGTGACATTTATAAAAGACAAGTCATGAAATTAGGATTCTTTGATATTAAATCTAGGCATTATCTCTTGTTAGTGTCTTAAGAAATGGTTCAGTCTGGGACATTGTGTTTTCAGGTTCCATCAGAGCAGTTGCCTGGCAGCATGTTCTCGCCCAGTGCCAAAACCTCTTCTTTTCCTGTACAGGTGAAGGGAAATAAAGCTAACAACAGTGGGCCATCTACCACTGAAAACAGGTAAATTGAAATGCTTTTAAGTGACATTATAAAGTTTTTTTAAAACAACAGCTAAAACTGTCGTTACCACAATATCTCATTTTTATTTTTACCAAATTCATACTTAAGTTAAAATTTGTCAAAAAGAGACTAATTATTTGCAATAAGTAAGAAGTCTATGTTTTTATACATATCTGTGGTAACAGAGTTAGTTTCAATTTCCAGAACTGTCATGCCGCCCCCTTCACCAACTGCAACACACGTAAGGTGAGCGCACATTCATGAATGTGCTCGCACAGATTTACACGTGCACTTACATTTGTATAAGTCATTCTGTTAGATAAAAAAAGTGGCAAAATTGATGACTGATTACACTTGTTCTTGAAAGCATTGACTGTGGATACCTACTAGGTGGCAGCACAGTCAAAAATGTGACCACTAGATGGCATTACAGCCATAAGTGTAACCATAAGATTGTTGTGTTTTGTTGTTGTTTATTTCAATTAATATTTCTCAGTATTTTTTTGTCACATTCCAGGGCGTTAAGCACTATCAGTTTATCAGAAGTGAGTCTTGGAGCACCGCCCTCCCCCAGCCAGGCTGTGACCAGTACAGAGGTAGGTAGAACTATAGCATGTCAGCTTGGTTACGTATCAAGGTAGGATGTTAATATTGGTTAGGGTAGAACATGGTTTTGATGTGATATTGTGTTAGATGTGTAAAGATGTGTTTTGGGTATAACAGTGTGTTAGCTGTGACAGTGAGTGTTACATTGTGTTAGCTGTGACAGTGAATGTTACAGTGTGTCAGATGTGACACTGTGATAAATATGACAATAATTGGTTGGGACCTAGCAATGACGTTGATATTTCCAGTACCGTTCCCTGTCCCCAGACAGTGAGTGTTAGATTGTGGTAGATGTGACACTGGTGATAAATGTGATAATGTTGATATTTCCAGTTCCATCCCCTGTCCCCAGACAGCAATGCTGTAGAGGTTGCCCAGTGGCTGCAAATGCAGAGATTCTCAAACTACGTGCGCATTTTCCAGAACTTTAGTGGTAGGTGGAGTTTGTTCAAACCAGGGACAAAAAGGGGCTCATTTTGACTGGTATTTAAGTGCTTTATACAAAAAAATGTTACCTAGTTTAAACATTTTCATGGTTGATATTGAGAAAGAAAGGAATTTTGCTTAAAATTCCTAATCTCAACCTTCTTAAATATTTTTAACTTGAATCATGAGAATCTGCTGTTAAATAAACCATAAACAATTTGAGAAACCTCAGTATTTTTTGTTTAATTTGTAGGTGCTGATCTTTTGAGGTTGTCAAAAGATGATTTAATTCAGATCTGTGGACTAGCTGATGGTATACGGCTTAACAATGCACTGCAACACAAGTAAGTCATTTCCTACTTTTTTCGGACTAAAATTAATATTGGCCTAGGCCCCCCCCCCCCCCTTTTTTTTTCAGGAAATGGCAGCCTCTTCCCTGAATAGTACAGTTCTGTGACAGTTATTTTGTACTTCATAGATACGAATAGAAAATGCCTTATAAAATTTAGATGCCTTTTACAACTTGTAATTCTGTAGTGCTTTATAGTAATAGAGAGTAAACAGGCCTGTTTTAAGTTTTTTGGGAATGGAGAAAATTGAATGTGTTTAAGTATTCTAATTTTGGTCCATTTCAGATCTGTGCGTCCGCGCTTAACATTGTATGTTTGTCAAGAATCCGAGCAAGGTAAGGGGAAGTTTCAAGATGTTACTGTAATTAATCTTAAATTTCCAACTGTCAACTTAGAACTGTAAGATCTCTGTATATGCCAAGCACACACACACACACACGCCTGTGAAGGAAAGAGAAACTATTTCAACATGAAATACAGATAGTACAAGGTGTAATGGGAGGCCATACTTCACAGCAGCCGGGAATGCCTAGTGTCACAGTATTTATAAGTTGGGATGTTATGAGATTTACATCTTTGTGCAGATTAAGTTAGCTATGGCAGCTATCTGTACACAGTGCCTTTAACAGATAGCATTTTTCTTCTTCTGTGACAGGTCAGAAAGTTGGCCCTTAAGTCACTGGTCATTGTGTTACAGTCTTTGACTTTCAGTATTTAAAACTTTGATTGTAGCTTAATCAGTGAAGTGTGGCTATCATTGAAATGCAATAAATTTCAATCTTTTTTCTAGTTTATCATGCAGTGTATTTGGAGGTCTTGACAGCCAACGACATGTTGGAGAAACTGGCGAACTTGTTCAGTGTGCAGAAACAACAAATCATCGAAATCTATATTCAGGGACCATCTTCTATTCACATACTAGTCACAGATGAGGTGAGTTCAGATAGACTGTAGAATATGAGAAAAATACACTGGACTTTATACAAGCCCATATTATATGGTTTCCATTCAAATGTATTTAATATTTGCCATTTGTGCTTTCAAACTTTATGTAGAGATGAACTTTTTAGCTACCAGAAACACACACACAAACACGTGCAGACATGCATGCACATACAACCACGCTCTTGCATACATGCACATGTATTGATTTGCATGCGTACACACATGCACCCAATGCCTTGTTAAACATATTTTGTTAAATGTTTTATTTTATGGTTTCTAACATGCATAGTATACAGTACAAAAGATTTACCAAACTGAACCAGGTTCTGCAATATGAAACACATAAGTTTCTGAGATTTACAATTTTTACTTTGACCTTGTTTTATTCAGGTTGTGCGTAACACACCAGATCATGGTCGTTTTGCAGTGGAAGCAGTGAAAGGTAATAGAGAAAATAAATATGTAGATGAATTGATGAATTTTGATAATGATAAATAAGCAGAGTTTGGAAATTAATGTAAAATCATTATTTTTTCAAAGCATGTTTAATTTTGTAGAAATCATGAAAAAATATGTTCAGACTTTTATTGTTGAATGTCCAACACTTGTGAATTGTAAAGTTTTGAAATATGGTCTTGTTTCCAGATGATGCCAGCGACAGATATCGAATCCTGCTGAAGTCAATGGAAGCCCCATGAAGGAACTCCGTGCCCAGGAACTCCACATGGTTATGTGTTGTAACAGGCTCGGGATAAAGGAAGCAGTCAGCAATTGAAATATTTGTCATATTTCATGTTGGAATGTACATAGTAATCATCAGTTGTTTGATGAATAGAAGAAGGGGATTCTTGGAAAATGGATTTTAATTTTTTTTTATCTGTAAATATGACATCAGTGGTGTTTCAGAAGTCGTGTGTTCCCAGCGTACCAAATGTGATGTTTAACTGTTTAACAAGGACCATTGTTTTCAGTATCATGTTCAGGTCACGTTTCAGAAATACCTACACGTATCCTTGCACAAGCAGGAGTGGGTATTCCAGTGTTTTCTTGAAAGATGGTTTTAAAATGAAAAAGGGAATGTTAAAATCTAAACAGGCTTTCAGTTTAAACTTAAACTTTGTATGATTGAATTAAGACCTTTATCAATGGCATCAGTTTCAGAAGTTTGCACCATGCTCCATAAAGAAAAGCTTTTCTATATTAGAAAAGTAGAAATCCCATTAGACTTTCATAATTTCTAGTAGAGTCCTTTGATAGGTATTTCTTGAATCATGACCAGGATTATGTTTAATCATTTAGACTTCTTTTTGTTAGAGAATTAAACATAAGTTAATAAGCCAGATGATGATTTACAAAGAAAATAACAAATGTGTACAATTTTCTGAATTAGACGCAAGTTATGAGAGGGTATTCTATTTGGTAGATATATCTTATGATGGCAAAGTTGCATTTATACAGGAGTTCCAAACCTGTTTTTGTTTCTACGACGTTTTTATTTCTGTATCATTGATATTCTTACCCAGATTACATTTATGTAATGATCTCTGATAATTGATGTATATATCATTGGGAATTGGGGAAAAATTACCTGGTTTATGAAATGCCAGGTATAAGGTATAGAGTAATATGTTATGGACATAGGGGAGGAGAAGACACTTTAGTGGGGTACTTTTCTAAGTTGTAAATATTACATTTCAACCCTCCTTTTCCCCCAGCATGGTCGATAATCTTGAGAAACTACAGTTAATCTTCATCATGTTCATATACTATGTACAGATGTCTCACTCCAGGATTTCATCTTTCACTGAAACAAGCTCAGGACCTGTAGAATGGAACACATAGGGGAAAGCTCAGTGGAAGACTTGATGTTTGTATATAATTCTACATTGACGTGGTATGTCTGTAAGCTACATATTTTACTCCTCTGATTTGTTAGATGGTGTACACTAAAGTTGGTTGGTTGGTTTTCGTGTGCGCACTCACGTGAGATCATGTTATCCATTTCACTCCTGAAAACGTCAAGAAAATATTGCTTTTTTCCTCTCTGTCCAATACTTGGTGAAAGTGTGCCCACATTATATTATCTTTTTATTTATTTTTGAAATGTGTAATATATTTTGATTAACTGAAAGACTGACATTGTCATCACGGCAGTTTCACTGTTAAAAGGCAATATAGTTTCTAAGCCGCCCAAGTTCCAAGCCAGCTGTAAATAATTTTGACTTTCAAGTGTATCATTTGTAAATTCAGTGTTTTAACAATTTTATTAATTTTTTTTTAAATCATAAAGCGCTGTCAGTGTTGCAGTCATATTTAACTGTCATTGATAACAGTCTAGTATATATGCATCTTTTTACCTCATAATTAGATCAATTAATAAAATGTTTTGGCTGGCAAATTAGGAATATTTTGAAAGGGTTTTGCTGTTCGAGATTGCCG